AGAAAGAACTGTTAGCTAGCTAGCCATGCTTTCTGTGGAGGAGTCACAAGAAAGCCCGAAAAACTTTTCAGGGATTTTTTTGATCGATCAGGAAACAGGAAAACAAAGAAAACAGGAGATTTAGAGGATGGAATCGGGAGTGACATTTCAATGACAATGATTGAAAAGGAAATCAAGAATCGGCTGGGAGAGGAAGAGATTTCGATCCATTCTCAATCAGTTACCAACGAAATCCGCGAATTTGTTCTTGCGGACGGTGCGCCTGGAGACGATGTGGACGCGCGGCAGCACGGAGGCAAGGTCCGCGGCAAGAGCGCCGTCCATCCCAGCGCTCTTCCTTCATCGCTTCAAACACACACGCAGCGAGTAAAGCTCCACACCGAGTACTCGCTCTTGCCATGCCCATCGTTGATACCCATTCTGGAGAAATGCTGCGTTCCTGCAAGACCTCAGCGAATCCAAATCCAGATCCGCGGCTCTCCCCAGGAATTGCGATGGATCGAGAGCTCTGTCGATGATCTCGCTGCCCACGAGAAGGATCGGTTGAAGCAGCCGCTTTCACGAACAAATCTGGGTATCTGGTCGCCAGTCACGCGTGCCTGTCCGGGAAACTCACTCATAACGGGGAGTTAGCTTGCGATTGCTGCTAGCTTGCAGCGAGATTTTGGGCGGTTGAAGATGTCACGGTTGGCATCGCAACCGCCCAATTTTCCAACGGTGGAAATGCATCACCACTTCATAATGAATCAAAAAACAATATGTTGCAAGTGGTCAACCCTAGGGGTAGTGGTTAAGCCCGGGGAGATGGGATAGTCCTATAGAGCCGAATCCCAGGATCGAGACCCTGGAAGAGGAGGGACCCTCTTCAAACTGATCACTCCTTTTCATTTTTTGATTGAATATTCGAACTCTGTTTCTTTTTGTTAATGAACCAAATATCCTCAGCGACTAAAGCTTCCTAGTTTCCTTTGGCTCTCTGGCTAGACTAGCATGGGCTCTTCCTGTTCTTAAATTTTCTTGGTTCATTGTCTCTCGCTTTGATTCTATCCATAGGTGAGAATGTGAGCCACTCTTTATCTCAAAGTTCATCTGCATCTGCGAATAACATATTAAAAACCAGGACAGCGATTTCAAAAGTGAAAAAGCTTGCGAGTAGCGTAACAACTTACTGAATGGTGGTTCTTTAGACAAAATATAATATGCCAGTATGGACAAGGTACAATGGGCTGCACAAACAAAAACAAAGAAATTTCATGGTGCTTTATAAAACTTATTAAGCTCTACGATACTGTCCACCCTCGCCAGCTGCAATATCCTGTGAAACGTTCCGGCGTCTACGTGAGCAGGCTTGCCAGACAAAAGTAAAAAAGGAACAAAGTGTTAAAAACCATGTTCCAAGCTTCAAGAAGTCATTGATGTGGGCCTTGACCGCTCTCTGAGAAGGATAACACGGTCGAAAAGATCAAAGAATTCAGGTGAAATCTGAACCAGCGATATGAACCCATAGCAATCTCGTTGCCAGTCTGTTTCGGTCGCCATCCTTGATGCCATCAGCAAGAGTGCCAACCCGATCTTTATGAGACCAAACATGTATAGGATGTAGTCCTCGTAAGAGTCGCGGCATCGGACTGTGGCATACAACGCTGCCATAGAGAACAAACTCGATAGTTTCTCGGACTGTGAAAAACAACAAATGCCTGCAAGTGTAGGCCAGCTGAGAAACATCAACACGTACTTACACGTTGTTCGTGCTGAGTCACATAAGTGATCGGCCACTTTATAGCAAGTCTGGACGACAAAGGGTCGTTATTGTAAAGCACAACACCCTCCAGACTGAGTCGTCTGTTGGGACGTAGCTTTCCTCACATCACCTGTTATCACCACTGTCTGTAGAATTAACAGCCAATGTAGCATACGAAACAAAGCATCATATCTCCAAACAATCACCATGCTACCTTGAGGAGAGTGCTCTTCCCACTGCCTGTTTAGAAGGAAAAGGTCACAAACAATGAAAATCAAGGTCACGAACCTGGCGAACTGAGAACGAGAGTCATGGAACCCGGCATCACATAGCCACTCACGTCCTTGAGAACCTTGATCTTGCTGCGAGCCAGCTTAATGCAAACTCCTAGAAGGCATCCAAGTAGCTTCTTGCCAATGGTATCATAGCCAGGAGCAACTTCGGTGTGATCCATCGTAACACTGATGGCTTTGAAGCGAAGAACCTGAATGGAACGTAAGATCCCTCCATGGTAGCAAACGGGAACTTACTAGAGTCCAGGGAGGGGATTTCTCCTTGGAAGTGGATGGAGATTCATGGCTGATATCACCGAAGGAGCGGCACACATTGGACAAAATGGGCCAGCATTTTCCTCCGAGCTCCTTGCCCGTGGCGCCGAGACTCCAAGCCCTAGTAAAACTATCATTTGGCTGACTGTGCTTTCCACGCGGCAAAGCCACGTGGCGTGCCTACACTTCATAGTGAATCAAAAAACAATATGTTTCAAGTGATCAACCCTAGGGGTAGTGGTAAGCCCAGGGAGATGGGATAGTCCTATAGAGCCGAATCCCAGGATCGAAACCCTGGAAGAGGAGGGACCTTCAAACTGATCACTCCTTTTATTTATTGATTAAATTTAGGGCACGACGGCTGCAGATGAGCACCAGGCCCGCGGAGGAGGTGACGATGTCGAAGAAGGAGCTGGGGAGCGGAGAGCCGTCACATGACTTTGCAGACGTGCTGTGGTCGAGGGTGATGGTCCCAGTTGGCGTGCCACAAAAACTCGACAGATTTGATGATGCCTCTCCGAGTCGCGTAAGATGCGTACCAGTAATTCATACCCAACAAGTAAAAAAAGAAAACCGCCAGTTTTATGAGTAAGTTTAACGAGAAGCACCGGATGGAAGCCAGGAGCGTGGCGTATGACTGTTGATGCTTCCTGGAATGTATCTAGACGGGCATGCCACCCAAAGCCTTTGAGGACTACAGCCTCCAGCAGCTATGGGCTTTGCAACACAAATTTAACAAGCAGCTGCACGACTCCGACGCATTACGTCCATTTACATTCCGCTGGAAGTACGCAGCTCTCAAGGTAGCTTGGTGATAAATGTGGTTAGCCAGCTGAGCTCCGCCTGGCCGTGGAGGTGCGCTTGCAAAGTTCTAGATAGATGCGCACACTACTCGTGGCTTCCAGGGAGGAGGCAGATTCTCCAGAAAGGGCTTCTTCCATTGTTCTACTTCCTGGACAACGAGGGAGTGGATCTCAACGAACCCGGACTCTAGACATGATACTGGTGAAAGTTCCTTTGCACATCGTATCTTGGTCGCCGGCAGCCTCTCAAGAACAGCCTCGACAAAAGGATCCTGGGCGTGAATGAGCAAGGCTATGACTCGTTTCATGAGGGAGACGTGCAAGAAACTGCTGCTTACGAAGAGCGTCACTTCAACGATAAGATCGTTACTTGTGACTTTATAGGAGACACCTTCAAGAGGGACCGGGATGGTGGAAGCGCTAAAATGGCAAAACGTCACCTTTACACTGGCTCATCTCCGGCACGTAAGGACTCCATCTCAATACTCGGGCCCCGTACGTGAAACTCTTTGCGTCAATCATGCTCACACAGCCATCATCTTGTAAGTAGCCACTGAGGTTGTCGAGCACGTAGTTTCATCGCGATGGATCACGAAACAGCGCGAGCGTCTTCAGGTGTCCACAGCCGGCGCAGAACCTTCCAGTGTGAGACAAAGCTATAGCCACTTTCCATTCGGACATCAATTCCCATGCGTTCCCGGCTCGCCAGACGCTGGCCAGATGCTCGATCCAAACCCTTTAGCAGCGCCTCGCCAGAACAACTTGGTCCACAGGGATGTTCTTCTTCAAGTTCTCTCTTTTGTCTATGATCATATAGATGTTCTTGGTTTTTTGTCAAGGTTATGGCTCCATAATCAAGGGCCGACGCCACTTGATCGGGCATCACGCGGCAGCCCATCAAGGACTCGCACGCGCAGCGGCGTCCATCCCATGGGGCGGAGATTCCTCCCCACAAGAATTAGACTATCGATGATGTGGCAATATCTGCTACGTGTACCGTGTTGGCCATATGGCCAATTTTCCCGCCCCCGCATTAGGGTTTTTTAGGTTTCACTTTATTTCCCCATTAGCAATTGTTTACAAGGACGATCAACAGAATGGGGAATTTCATGAGAGCAAACTCGCCGAAATACAGGGCATACAGCACCTCCAAACGTTCCATACACATCTATACAGCAACGCAAGTAACTCAATCTATACAGCAATGCATAGAAGTCTGACAAGCAACTATCTGAGTTGACAGATATGTACCATTGTTTCTTGAGGCGCTTTGTACCTGTTGTGAGCAGTTGTCACAGGAAGTAGAAAAGGAGGCTTTTATGCGCTCCCCCTTTAAACTTTCACGACATTCTTGCGAAGGACAATAGCTGGGATGAAGTGGTTAGGAAGTTTGCCCAGTATGATGAGCTGGCTGGATAGCTCAACGGGGAATGCAAGACTGACGAAGTTGGACACGGCTTTCTTAGACGCTGAAGGAGGTATAAGATATTGCTCAAGCTTTGTCAAGAGAATTTATACAGCCGAAGTGTAGTAGGATTGGAAAAGTTGAGCGGATGAGTACCTGGACTTGAGAAAAATGTGCTGGCAAGCGTCATCCAGAACAATAAAGGCTTCCTTCCAACTTACTTTCAACCTTGGAAACATAAACTTTTCAGATGCTGATGGAGTGATGACGAAATGGGAAGCTGATCATCATAGCTGTTCAATTCATAGTGAGCATTGATCTCACATCAGATCGGTAAACCAGTTTATGAGCTTCCTCTCTCTACGGAAGTGGGAACGAACACTAGGGTATGCATTTGTGGGGTATTCTACTATACAATCAGGGAGGTAGTTTGAGACACTCCAAGACAGGGTTGGTCAATTTTCAAGCATCCTTCCTATACTAACGTATTTATCATTTAATGTAAATCTGTAAACCCTAGGCGTGGATAGGGCACAGGGCAAGGTGGGCGGGCGGGCAATGGCGGCTGGGTACGAGCGCGATGGCTATGGCGGCTACGAGGACTCTTACGACGAGCGGCCAGACGACGCGCACCCGCCCGATTACGTCCCCGACTATGTCAAGTCCTTCGTCGGGTACCTCTACCGCAGCATCCGCGAGAAGAATGTCTACGAGGTACACCAAATGTATGAGAGCAGCTTTAGCAAGCTGAGCGAGCGCTTCTTCTCCAAGTCGCACTGGCCCTCGGCGGAGCTCGTGGCGCCCTACGTCGACAACGATCACGTCTTTTGCCTCCTCTACAAGGAGATGTACTACAGGCACGTCTACGCCAAGCTCAATGTCACCTTCCAGGAGAGGCTGGAATCCTGGGACAATTACTGCAACCTCTTCACGGTCATCCTCCATGGAAACGTGAATATGCAGCTGCCCAACCAGTGGCTCTGGGACATGGTGGACGAGTTCATCTATCAGTTCCAGGCGTTTTGCCAGTACCGGACCAAGCTCAAGAACAAGACCGAGCAGGAGCTAAGCTGGCTCAAGCAGTACGACGAGCAGGTCTGGAAGCAAAGAAGCTTTCCTCACTCTGTCACTGATTTCTTCCTTCTCGGTTTTGTTCTCGCAGGTGTGGAATGTCTATGGTGTGGCGAATTTCCTCCAGGCTCTGATTGACAAGTCGGAGATTCTGCAAGTCCTGGAGGAGGAGAAGGACGGGGCGGTGACGGCCTTCAGTGCCAACGATGGATATGACTACGAGGGTGGCAGCAACGTCCTCAAGGTCTTGGGATACTTTAGTATCATTGGGCTTGCGCGGGTGCACTGCTTGCTTGGGGATTACCACACGGCTCTCAAGCGCCTCGCTCATATTGATCTCACGCAGCACGGAGTATACAGCTCTGTGATCGGCTGCCACATTACCGCGGCGTACTACTACGGGTTTTCGAACATGATGATGCTGAGGTGAGTTTTTCGAGCGTGAGCTCTCCTCGCTGATAAAACCTTTCTTTTGCTACCAAGGTACATCGATGCTATCAAGACTTTTAACCAGGTGCTTGTGTACATCTCCAAGACGAGGCAGTACCACCAGAAGTCGTCGCAGTTTGAATGGATCCTCAAGAAGAACGAGCAGATGTACGCGTTGCTTGCGATCTGCCTGTGGTTCTGCCCCCAGTGGCACCTCGTAGAGTCCGAGAATGCGAGGAGCGATTCTCAGAGGAATGAGACCGTGACTCACCAGCTTAAGGAGAAGCGTGGGGAGAAGTTATCCAAGATGCACAAGAACGACGAGGCCGCTTTCGACGAGTGTTTCTCGTACGCTTGCCCGAAGTTTATCTCTCCATCGCTACCTGACTTGAGTGACACCTCTGGAAACTACAGCCAGGTAAGTGTGTCCTTTTTTCGTATCTTTTCAGTTCTAAGCGGGCACCTGGAATCCACAGGAAGCATACAGGCTGCAGCTGAAGCTCTTTCTATCTGAAGTCCGACAGCAGCAGCTCCTGAACAAGATCAGAAACTACGTGAAGCTTTACACCACGATATCTATTGCAAAGCTAGCCTCGCTTGTGGAGGTAGACGAAGCCACGCTGAGGTAGCTTGTATTTCGTTTATCTTCTTGCGTTCTCAGCACTTAAAAACTTGGCAGGATGGCTTTGATGACTTACAAGCACAAGACTCACTACATTGACGACGATGGCAGCGTAGCATCTACCGCGGACGTCGAGTTCTACATTGACGAGGTTGGGATTTGCTTGCTTGCTTGATTCTCACTCATCAGGGAGCTCAAATCTCTTGCTTTTCTTTCGTCCAGGATGTTGTACACATAGCAGAGCCGAAAGTTACCAAGCGTTTTAGCGAGATCTTTGTCCGCCACATTCTCAAGGTAATGCTCTCAAGAATTTAGCTCTTTCTCTTTTAACACCATGGTTTCGCAGTTCGACGAATTGGTTGGGGACCTGGAGCGTGTCGCACTAGAGTGAAAGATAGTTGTGACGCGTAAAAGACTTTTTTGTTGTTAAGAAAAGAGATGACATGTTCTGGCAGTGCCATTTGTATTAGCGTGACTCGTTCAAGAGAAGGAGAAAACCCCTCTTTGGGAACAAACGAAGGAAGAATGGAGGTGATACCGGTGCCTTGTTTGGACGACAATTACGCTTATCTGTAAGCTCTCGAGAGTGAGTGCTTTGACGAAAGTTCCCTGGATTGATTGATCAGGATAATCGATGGAGCGAGCAAGCAGGCAGCGGCGGTTGATCCCGTGAAACCCGAGAGCGTTTTATCGGCAGCCAAGAAGCATGGAGCCCAAGTGACCATGGTTCTCACCACCCACAAGCACTGGTAGAGCTAGCTTTCCATTCTTTCCTCCGCAAGAAAGCTTTTCTACCAGGGACCACGCTGGAGGTAACAACGAGATCAAGAAGCTCGTCCCAGGGATCAAAGTCTTCGGTGGTGCCAAGGATAATGTGGAAGGCTGCACGGATCCTCTGGAGCACGGAGCGGAGCTTGAGCTGTCCAAGGATGTAAAGATCAAGGCCCTCCACACTCCATGGTAAAGTGTCCTCTCTTTTCTTCTCGTCTGTGATGCTAGTTCTTGAGAGCTGCTCTTGGCATTCGTAGCCATACCAAGGGCCATATCAGCTACTTTGTCACCCACAAGTCTGGAGATCCTGCCGTCTTCACCGGTGACACTCTGGTACTTCCTTTCTTACTTGTCCTTGTCTGTGGTCTTAAAATCTTGCGCTGCGCAGTTCGTCGCCGGCTGTGGCAAGTTCTTCGAAGGCAAAGCCCAGGATATGTACCACTCTCTGTCCGAAGTTCTAGCCGAGTTGCCTCCGGCTACTCGAGTCTTCTGCGGACACGAGGTCTGTCTTCCACTTCTTGTATACTTTCCGTCTCTCAGCGTTTAGAATCCACCCTTGCAGTATACCGCCAAGAACTTGAAGTTCGCCATGTCTGTCGATCCCCACAATGATGCTCTTAAGCAGAAGGTTGCCTGGACGGAAGAGCAGCGTCGGAATGACAAGCCTACGGTCCCTTCCACCATCCGAGAGGAGCTCCAGACCAATCCCTTCATGCGTGTTAACGTGAAGGAGTTCCAAGTCCATATGGGAGAGAGCGATCCGGTTGAGCTGCTGGCGTCGTTGAGAGCCGCCAAGGATCAGTTTAAAGGCTAGCTCCCTCTGTCTGGATCCTTGAGATGATAAATGATAAGTTGGCTTCCTCGAAACTTATTCTTCCGGAACGTCGATGTGGATTTCTTGCTTGCCAGTGGCAACCATCTCGATGGCAGCTAAAAGCTTGCGAATCTCAAAAGGCTTCCCCATGTAACTGTCCATTCCCGCTGAAAAACATGTATCCTCGTATCCACGCATGGCATGCGCTGTTAACCCGATTATGGGCATTTTTCTCAGACCATCCCTGGCTTCCTGTTCCCGTATTCTACGAGTTGCTTCCAATCCATCCATGATCGGCATCTGGAAAGAAGACTTGAAACTGGAAACTTGGAAAAGAACAAGCTACCTGGATGTCCATGAGGATCAAATCAATGTTGTCCCGGTTTGCGTCCACGGCCGCTATCGCTTGGACTCCATCCCCCACAACGGTCACAATGTGGCCATGCTTTTGGAGGAGTCTAGACGCAACCTTCTGATTCACAAGGTTGTCCTCCACCAAGAGTATGCGCTTGGTTAAGTCAACCGATATTTCTGCTGCTTGTACAATGCTCGGGTCCTTGACGCTTAGAGTGACTTCTTCTTTCGGAGTCACAGGGCTGGGAGCTTGCTGAGTGCCATCCTTGGCGACCATGACGCGGGAAATCTCATCGTCCGTAGATTCCCGAGGTGCCGGGGCTTCGTGACCATCTGCAACTGAGCTTACGACTTCAGTACTAACAGGTTTTCCCTGCGTAGTCTCGGCTCCTACACAAACCAGAATACTTATAAGTTGCCTATGCAAAAAATACGTACTTTGAGAAGTCACAGAGGCAGCTGTTGCGAAGAAACCAGATGCTTCCTGGGCAGCGCCCTCCTTGTTCAAGAGGTAAGGCAAAACGATGTAAAAACTACTGCCTTTTCCATATTCGCTTTCCACCAGTATGTGACCTCCCATCAGCTCTACAAATCTGCAAAATCGCCGCAGCTGTTAACGAGTTTAAAGTCAGTTGCAGTTTCCTTATTAGCCAGATTGTTCTTAGAAAAACCAAAACTTACCTTTGTACCACGCAGAGACCGAGTCCTGTTCCACCATATAAGCGAGAAATCGAAGCATCCGCTTGAGTGAAGGGCTTGAAGACATCCTTGAGCTTGTTTTTGCTGATGCCAATCCCACTATCCGATATCTTGTAAAGAATGGTCACTTCGTCGGCTGACCCCCGGTTGGTAAACTTGGTGTGAGCTTGCGTGTGTTGAGGCATGAAAAGGTTTCTCGTCTCTGTAACTTCCAGCATCATTTCTGACATGTCTGACCACTGAGAGGCGTTAAGTCTCGATAGAACCGAATCGTCTTGCATTCCGAACCTGTGAACCGAAACCTCAACTCGGACCTCGCCCTCGGGTGTGAATTTCAGAGCATTTCCAACTGCACGGAGGATCAGAGTTAGTTGCTCACTGTGTATACCACCGCCTCACCTAAGTTTAACAGGCACTGCCTCAACTTTCCCGAGTCCCCGACCAGAAACTCGGGCACAGCGCTGTCGATTTCATAGCTCAGCCGAAGGTTGTGTGCCTGCGCACGCGGCTGTAGAATGTGCACAGTGCTCTTCAGGACGTGATGAAGATTAAAAGATATCAACTCCACTTCAAAACGGCCAGCCTCGATTTTCCCCAGGTCCAAAATGCTGTTGATGATATGCAGGAGCAACTCGGCACACTCGCTGACGGTGGTCATGTTCTCCTTCTGCTCATCTGTGAGAGAAGTTCCAAGCACCAACGCTGACATTCCAAGTATTCCGTGAATAGGAGTTCTGTACAGGAAAAACAAAGTATGTTAAGGCACTGCGAAAAAAAAACGAGACGAATAATCAAACCTGATCTCATGACTCATGTTGGCAAGGAAATCCGACTTGGCTTGGCTCGCCAGTTCTGCTGCTTGCTTCGACGTCTGTAACTCCTCATTTGCCTTGACGAGCTGATGCGTTCTCTGGAGCACTAAACTTTCAAGCTCCTCATTGAGCTTCTCAAGCTTTTTAGCTAATTGATGCTTCTCCCTGACAGCAGCCGCAAGTGACACAGCTACAGCTGAGCTAACAGATACAAAAAGCTCTACCTGCATGACAATCCGCGGTTCCACAGTTGGGCCACCTCCAGAGATATTGTAGAGAGCACCCTTCTTTTTCACGGTCGACCAAGTGCAAAAAAGGGAGATCCCGCACAAGATGAAGGCCCATCCCATCCGGTTGAAGCGGAAAGCACTGTAGACGATGACTGGAAAGAGAAGATAAGGCAGTGGCTTCACGTACGTAGGAATGACGAGCGTGTAGACTGTTATCAGCAGCAGCACGGTGATGAACCCGACCAAAAAAATCTCCACAATCTTCCCCGGCCTAAACATCCCCGGCTTGGGCTGCCACACGAAGCAGTGGAGAACGAAAGGTGACACCGTGATGGAGGCAGCTACCACACCCAGCCACCATGTCGCCCAGCAGATTGTAAACTCCTTCCACGGCACCATGCGCCCGACACACTCGATCAAAGCTATGGTTGCCTCGAAAGGTGCCGAGAGAAAGCAGGTGACGAGGAAGTACCACAGAGCATCCCCAAGTGATTCGATCGTCGGTATCAGCCTGGTCTCGGAGCACAAAAATCTACGCACCATCCAGCTGCAAAAGTGGACCTCGAGCGTCCTGAGAGTAGCAGCCCCCAAAAGAACCACCGACTTCAAGAAATTCAGGCCTTCCACGCCCCTGTCCGTGAAGTAGAGCCTGACGCCGAAGAGCCCAGCAAAGTTTCCCAGGAGAACGAAGCATCCTTTCTTGCAAGCCACTGCGAAGCCCACCGCATGCGGGAGATAGAGTGGGAAGACGATCACCTTGACGATTTGCTTCTGGAGCGGTGGTGCCGACATCTCAAACGTTGCTGCCCCGAGCGCGATCTCCAGCGCCGTCAATCCCAGGTTCCAGGCCAGGAAAGACGCCAGGCATCGCGGGCGCTTGACATGAGCCACGATGCATTTGAAGGAACTGGCAGCAAATCCCTGAGCGCGAGAAGCTGCACTGGAGCACAGATCCTGGATATCAATCAGCCCCCGACCATTGGCCATAATCTTCACCCTGGCATCCTTCCCTGGCACTGCCTCAATCCAAGGAGAGCTAATCCCCCACCCGCATTCTCTGCCCTGCGAAACAATCGCGGCCGCTCTAGCGCGCGATCCGCCAATCGCACCAGCGGTGGAATCCAGCGAGCGATGGAGGGATCATCGCGATCATACCTGGGCGGAGAATCGAGAAACCCTAGCACACGTCCTTAGGGCTTCGCGAGAAGACGATGCGACCAAGATTTTTCGGTTCGAATGGTTTAACGGATACATAGCTTCGCGGTTTTCTTTCTTCTAAAAGAATGGAGGGCTAGAATCTCGCCTATCTAGCGGCGCATACGCTCCGCAATAATCCTCAATCCCATATACCTGGAACACCAATCACATCAAAGAAAAAAACGAATATCTCACTTACCTTCCCAGCATCATGACCGTCGCTTGAGGGTTCGTACCGGGCGAGAAGTTAAACGTGGAGCCGTCGATGACGCGCAGCGCATCAACGCCTAACACGTGGTAGTCGCTGTCCACGACTCTGCCCACCTGGCAGCCACCGTGGTAGTGCCAGATGGTCTGTACGGTCGACCTGCAGAAGCTGGCCAGCGTGACATTGACCGACGACCGGAGCGTTGAATCCGCGCGGACCGGCGATGCCACCGTCCCGCCCGAGGGAAGAGCTTGGGCGTCGTAGCGAAAGCGGCGCATGGAGCTGGAGAGGATGATCTCCTCGATCTGGTTGATCCCTTCCACGCAGCTCTGGAGATCTTCCGGGTCCTGGAAGTAATTGAAGGTGACCTGGGGATTGTCCGCGGCGTCGAGCGAGGTGAGCGTCATCTGGCCGCTCGATCTGGGGCCGATCACCTTCTCGAGCAGCACGCCCGCGCTCAATCCATCGAGCTCGCCGCTGCCCGCCTCGATGAAGCTGCCGTAGTGCGTGATCCCGACCACCTGGATGAGGTTCGTCTCCACGGGCGCGGGCGAGAGGAGGTAGACGGTGTTCATGGGGTTGTCCGCCATGCCCTGGCCGACGCCTGGGAGATTGACGAGCACGCGGATGCCCATGCTCTCGAGGTGCGCGCGCGGCCCGATGCCATTGAGCATCAGCAGCTGGGGGCTGCCCATGGCGCCCGCGGACAGGATCACCTGGCTCTGGCGATTGGAATTGAGGCGCGCGATGTGCATCCGGCTGTTGGCATCGCGGTATTGGACCCCGATCGCGCGCGGCTGGTAACCTACACACACGACGATCCGGCCGAGAAGAGAAAGATAGTAAAATAAGGAAACAGGGGATCCCAGAAATTCGAGAAAATCTGAGAGATCGGGCTTCGGTGGCTCACGCCAATCGCAGAGAATCGAGGAGGAGTTATCGAATCAATCGAATCGATCGGACAGAGAGAAAGAAGTCGATGACAACAAGTGGAGAAGAGAGGAGAAATTCACCTGAGGTGTCGAAGAGGATCCTCTGGACGCTGGCGCGGAGGAGCACGAGTATATTCCTGGCGCTGGCGTAGCGGAGGAGGTCGGCGGCGGTGTGGCGGTTGCCCTGATGGTCGAAGATCGACCCCCCAGTCTTGGTCCCATAGATGTGATCGAAAGTGGCGCCATTGTCCGGCGTCACCCCGGTCTCCAGCAGCCCCGCCCTAAATGCGCTCTGGAACGCTCCCAGCTGCGGCACGAACGCCACCACCCTCTCCACCCACGGATACGACTGGTTAACCAGGCGCGCATCCCAGCCAACCCTGCGCACGTAGTCGGGGCTGGCGCGCGTGTAGAAGCCAGCGTTGAGGCAGCTACCACCGCCCAGGACGCGCGGGCGAGTGTTGCGAACGCCGTCGGTGGACGTGAAGGCCTGCGCGGGCGTGAATTGCCCCTCGGTGTCGTTGAGGCTGCGCCCAAAGTTCTCGATGCGCGTGATGTTGGCGTTGCCATAGGGCGAGGGACCGCGCTCCAGGACGAGGACGCGGAAGTAGCGGGAGAGCGTCGCCGCCAGAGGGCAGCCGGCGGTGCCGCCGCCCACTATGATGTAGTCGTACTGCTCGTACACCGGGGAGTCGGCGGCGTCGCGGAGGAACGAGTAGGGATAGGTCTCGTCGGCGCCCGTCCCTGCGCGCGCGCGAGGAAGAAGAAGAAGATTCAAGAGAAAACATTTAAAAAATTGCGCGAAAGATTGGGGCGATCGATCGATCGATCATCCAATCTCGCTTCTGTTTTCCTTACCTCGCGCGATCATCAGCGCCAGCAGCAGCACCAGCGCGGAGCTTTGCATCGTGGATTTCTGCCGGGATTGGAGGATTCTCATCGCAATGGCGCGCCAATTTTCTCTCTATTTCAAGAGCTAGGGGAGTGGGCGAGGACGACAATGCGAATGACCTGCCCAAAGGGCGTGGCGCCCAATCTTGGCATGCTTTCGAGGGGCGTACCCACAAATCTTGTGTGTGTTGTTCTCGTCAAGGATATGTTATTCATGGATCGATCTTTCTAGCGCTGGAGCTTCTCTAAACTATTCGTTTTTAAATTTCCGGATATTCTAATGTGCTCACATCGCCGCCGTCCGTCCGGGTCTCGTGGATCATCCCTCGAGCGCCTCGATTCGCGTAGCTCGCTCGCTCGATGCAAGTTATGATCCTGTTGGCGAGTCTCCTCACAGCGCAAGCTCGATGCCAAGGTGCCATTTCCAAAACCTTTGGATCTCAAACGAAACAAAGTGTGAGCTATGGTGAGCTTCAGATGATTTCTCCAGGTTACCTCGTCCGAGTTGAAGCTCTCGAGGATTATCCCGCCGCGACAGGGCACCGCAAGATCCGACCAGTCCATGTCAAAAATTCCAAAGTCCTTGGAAAGTTCCTGGAGAAAAACAAGGAGTTTATACTGCCGAGAAGCAGCAGGGAAGTGATATACCCGACCCAAAGGTGTTTCCGGGTCGCCAATTACTCCAAGCACAAAGCCTCTATAATCAGCATTCGATCCCTGCAGTACGAAAATTACATGAGAAATCATATCATCAAAACCAGAACACGAACCTGTCCGTGAATCTCTAGAACTGGCGTTCCCTTCAAACTCTACACGAACGGTAAACACGATTGATCTTACAACAATTGATGCTACCTGTCTAGACACCCAATTCAAATACTCCTCCCAGGAGAGGTTTGGAGCGTCGCGATCAGGACGTAAAACTTGCCAGCCATTTCGGCGAAGTTGTCGCTCCAAGACATTGACGACCTTGGAGAACAAAGAAAAAACATTAGAAGTTCAGTACAACCAGCGTAACTTACATCAAGGTTGAATTCCCGCTCGCCAGGAGCACCAGGTTCATATCCAGGATCTATCCAATGACCTGGAACGACTGTGATTCGGTCACTCTTACCGATTTCACGCGAGGATTTGAGGTACGTAGACGTAGGTAGTACTTTGTGCCTTTTTGTCTGCCAAAACAGAGACAATCACTAGACAAACTTTTAAGATAAAGTCGAAGTACCCGCTTGCTTAAGATTTGCGACAGTTTGATAGAAGCGATTTTTAGTCGAGCCGGCAAGCTGGTTGCCAAATTTCCACAAAACGCATTTGATGGAACATCTAATTCTCCAGTAGCAACCTGGAAACCAAGTCTTATGACCAGTGAAAATCGCCACTGCCGAGAGTTTCCAACTCACCGCTTGACATGTCTTTGAGATTTTGATCCGCTTCGAGTACTGGATTGATAAAACATCCTCTCCTTGTTGAACTAATACTCTAAACTGCAGAAAAGTTGCAATGGTTTCCCCAAATATAAATATCTGCTTACCAGATTTGCAGCTTGCCAGTCGAGCTTTAATCTCCATTGAGGTCCAAGTGAGCCATTAACCTGTCAGAGAACTAGAACACCTTACTTAGCACACCACAAAACAATCATGCCCAAAACCTCTACGCTTGCGCATAGTTTCGCTTCGCCACCACCAGCATCAAACGTTCTCGTTATGCTCAGCGCAGGCACGGGAAAAAGCTCGACGACAGGACGCAGGGCTGCACAGCCCAACACCCTTCAATCACTAAACGATGGAAAAAGTGAAAGATCAAACCACTAGGAGAATAAAAGCTGCAGTACCTAGCTTCCCGCAAAACAGTGACATTGGCTTGATCTTCGCATAAGCAAATGTGCGCGAGGAATCCATTCTCCAGTCCTCTTTTTTCCAGTCCTCTTTCGTCACTTTGATCCCCAAGACAAGGGAGAGAGGACACCACTGCCATCGCCATCTTGCATCGTCGGCTGGATTACAAACTAAAAGTAAGAACCATTTGAAAGAGGAGGAAAAGAAACTCACACAAGCCCAAGCAATCTGGAAACGCAAGAGCGCGCTGGAACTTGACAAGAAATCCATTCGCGGGGCTGATCTTCGCTCCCAGCTTCCATCTATACTCCTGCAAGAGGAATTAGTCCCAATGAATGAAAATGCGGGTATGCATTACATCTAAGCTAGCTCACCCGCGATGGAACGCGCTTGTAGTGAACTGGAGGTACATAGAATCTGTACGGCCGAGTGAAACATCGCTCTCCTATACAAACCTCGTCCTCCTCGTCGACCTCTGGGAGGTAGCACGGCGGCCCTTCCTCCCCCATTTGCCCTAAAAACAGGGGAGCTGGGGTTTAGCTCGTACGGCGCCACGTTGCAAGATCAAAAAGATCAAAAGCGTCAGACGAAGGCGCTAGGGTTGGGGCAGAGGAAGAGCGATGGCAATGGGCGGCAGAGCGCGCGGTGTGGCGTCCAAGCTTCGCCGCATTTCGGTCTGTGTCGTCGCATCTCTCGACCTCGTCTTAGCTCCTGTGATTGATCCGTGCAGGCTGGTTGCGAGATTGCTCCGCATTGGTGGTTTCGGCGATTGCTGACGACGGTAGGCGCTTGCCCGTGCGATATTTCGGGATCTGGCGTGTGATTTGTGCTGGCAATTCTTGTAGGATCTTCGATCGCGGCTGGTGGAACTGATTCCGGGAGAACAGGTGAGGTCACTGAGCTTTTCTGGAAGGCGGTAGATGAGCACTATCGTCTTCTCTATAGGAGCGACTGAAAAAGCTGAAAAAGGAGCATGGATCAGTTCCGCTCGGCCAAACCACAGTCGATATGGTATGCGTTTGTTTGAGCTAGTTAGTCATATCTATGATCTCTCTATTCGTTTCAGGCCATTGGTGGAATGCGAGGGATTAAAGGCATGCTTTGGGAGACGTCCCTGCTCGATCCTGAAGAGGTAGTCAAGGATTTATTTGTTCTTTGCTGTTTCAGCGTCCTTGGCAAACAGGGTATTCGTTTTCGGGGCTTGTCCATTCCAGAGTGTCAAGAGAAGCTTCCAGCTGCCGTTTCCGACGGTGAACCGATACCAGAAGGACTGTTTTGGCTGCTTGTTACTGGTGAGGTAAGGCATTAGGCTTTCAAATGTTTTGACTTTCTTATACATTGTTCCCTTCAGGTTCCCAGTAAGGAACAAGCTGCGACATTGACGAAAGACTGGGCTTCTCGTTCTGACATTCCGGGCAAGTTTGATTACAATTTTTTTGCTTGTCTCACAGAAATGTGTTTGATACAGGTCATGTGTATGACGTTGTGAATGCACTTCCGAGTAATGCGCATCCAATGACACAGTTGACTGCTGGAGTTATGGCTTTGCAAGTAAGTGTTTGACGTAGTTCGAGAACACTTACTGAGCTCGTGCTACAGACCGACAGCGAGTTTCAGAAGGCGTATGAGAAGGGAATTCACAAATCAAAGTGAGTAGTCGTAGTTATATATATTCCTGATAATTGAGCGGTGTGTCTAGGTTTTGGGAACCAGTGTACGAAGATTCGATGAACTTGATTGCTAGGTTGCCAGGCCTAGCGTCCTACATCTACCAAAGGTTTGCATAATTTGCAACTTGTAGTGATGCTAAATGTTTTCGCTGCAGAACATACCATGGAGGCAAGCTGATTGAGTCAAACAAGTCGCTGGATTATGGAGCAAACTTTGCTCACATGCTGGGTTTTAAGGAGCCCAAAATGCATGAGCTGATGCGCCTGTATCTTACTATTCATAGGTTAGTCTGCTACAGTTTCCTTTGCCGTGAACTGAGGATGGCGTAATTGACTTTCAGCGATCACGAGGGAGGAAATGTTAGTGCACACACCGTGCGCCTGGTAAGTTTTTGTGGTCTTCTCCAAAAATACTCTTGATGACTCTATTTATCTCTAGGTGGGGAGTGCACTATCGGACCCGTACCTTTCTTTTGCGGCCGGAATGAATGGCTTGGCGGGTCCATTGCATGGTCTTGCAAACCAGGTTTGAGTTTATCATCGTGTGTTCTGGCCTGAAGTCTGAAACTCAATCAGGAAGTGTTGCGTTGGATTAATGAAGCCGTTGAAGCGATCGGAGCTGATGCTTCCAAGGAAAAGCTGACAAAATACGTAAAAGATACTTTGAATAGTGGAAAGGTCAGCTTTGTTTGGAATGAAAAAAATTTTAAAAATCAGTTGCTTAACTCTGCTGTACAGGTGGTTCCAGGCTATGGACATGCAGTGCTGCGTAAAACGGACCCTAGGTACACTTGCCAGCGCGAATTTGCACTAAAGCATCTGCCCGACGATCCGATCTTCAAAATGGTAGCCTTCAATTGTTGCTTTATTTTCTCATTTGGCCACACTCTGATCACAGGTATCCAATCTTTACGAAGTTGTGCCTGATATTCTTCTTGAAACGGGAAAGGTAATACTCGCTATTCACGGCAATCATAATGCCCCCCTTCCAGGTGAAAAATCCTTGGCCTAACGTGGATGCGCATAGCGGAGTACTTCTACAATACTTCGGGTTGACTGAAGAGAAGTACGTTTTTTCCTCTTTTTCCTCTCTTTTTTTTCTCATTAAAGGAAAAGGCTCTGACCACTTTACTTTTCTTCTCGCAGCTACTACACCGTGTTGTTTGGCGTCTCTCGGGCCTTAGGCGTTCTCGCACAGGTACTAGCATTGTGCTTCCAAGCTCTCCAATTGACTGCTTGTATCCTTCAGCTGGTGTGGGATCGCGCACTTGGTCTTCCAATTGAAAGGCCAAAGAGCATGACCATGGAGTGGCTGGAGAACTATTGCAAGAAGCAAACCGTGACAGCGTAAGTCGACGCTCTCGAAATTTTCGTTCTCGTTTTCTTTCGTGAATAACGGCTGGTGTAAAATACAATGTGGTGATAAGGATTGATAAATCCAATGAAATGAACAACAGGAAGAAGAAGTGAAGTGAGAGTCTCTCCGACATGGAGGTACTTGAGTCTCGACATGGAGAGGCATCATGAGAGAGAGGATGGATTGAACGGCGTGGGATTTGATTCCTAGCTATGAAAAGCTTCGCCACCGAGGAGGCCAGCTTCACTATGCTGGCCTTTTCCATCACCGCAGTGGTCTTTTTCTCAAGAACAGGGCCGTGGAGATCCGACACCACTCCACCGAGAAAACGAAAAAGAAGAGAGCTTGGATCTTGAGTGGAGATGCGGAAAAATCTGAGGCTCGCAAAGTCACTCCTTTACTAATTTTATTTTCGCCCATTTGACGCGAACTTTCTTCCTCTCTTTCTCGTTATAAAGCGTTGACACTGGTTAGTGCGTGGCATCTCGCCCGCGTGGCAGTTTTAAGGGCTGGAGCTCCGCCACGTCAGGCAACGTAAGCCTGTGTGTAAAGGCTGGGCGAGTCCTTCACCGAAGCAACCGGGATGGATCCTCCTCTTCCTTTTTCTTTTCGAAATTTATATCCCTTTTTGGCTATGGCGGAAACTAGGGTTTGGAGCTTTACGGTGTAACCGCTAGGCGCTGGACTATTAGGGTTATAGGATCCGGCGATCGGCGCCTCGGGCAGCGCGACGTGTCGATCGGTAGTCTCATGAATTCGCGAGCTCAAGGAAGAGCTCAGGATTCCAGGCACTCTCCGATGGCGATGGCGGCGAAGTCACCGTTTCCAGCTTGGAGCAGAAGCGTAGAAAGGTGCGTAGATGAGTACAGCACCGATCTGGCGCATGGATTGAGCAAGAGCTCGGTGGAGAAGAGGCGGGAGCTCTATGGCTGGAACGAGCTCGAGAAGGAGAACGGCAAGCCAATGTGGAAGCTTGTCCTAGAACAGTTTGACGATATGCTGGTGAAGATCCTTTTGGTGGCCGCGGTGCTCTCCTTCTTCCTCACTTACTTGGACGGCCAGAAGAGCGGTGAGTCGGACTTGACAGCGTACGTGGAGCCGCTCGTGATCTTCCTCATCCTCATCATCAACGCGGTAGTCGGGGTGTGGCAAGAGACCAACGCCGAGAGCGCGCTGGAGGCGCTCAAGGAGATGCAACCAGAGCACGCCAAAGTTCTTCGCGATGGTCACTGGATCCCCGACTTGGCAGCCAGGGAGCTCGTCCCTGGCGACGTTGTGGAGCTCAGAGTTGGCGACAAGGTACCGGCGGACACGAGGATCGCGGTTCTCAGGACTTCGACTCTTCGAGTGGAACAGAGCTCTCTCACGGGTGAGAGCGCTGCGGTGGTCAAGAGCACACAGGCGGTGGAGCTGGCCGACGTCGAGCTCCAAGCGAAAGAGTGCATGGTTTTCTCTGGGACGACCATTGTCAATGGCTGCTGCGTCGGGGTGGTGGTCTCCACGGGCATGTTTACGGAGATTGGAAAGATCCAGGCACAGATCCAAGAGGCCTCCATGCAAGACGATGACACGCCGCTCAAGAAGAAGCTGGATGAGTTCGGTGAGCGCCTCACGGTGGTCATCGGTGTGATTTGCTTACTGGTATGGATTATCAACTACAAGTACTTCCTGACGTGGGATTACGCTGATGGCTGGCCGACGAACGTCAGGTTCTCCTTTGAGAAGTGCACGTATTACTTCGAGATCGCGGTGGCACTGGCGGTGGCTGCCATTCCCGAGGGCCTCCCGGCGGTGATCACGACGTGCCTGGCTCTGGGAACTAGGAAGATGGCACAGAAAAACGCGATAGTTCGCAAGCTTCCGAGCGTGGAGACGCTCGGTTGTACCACCGTTATATGTTCTGATAAGACGGGGACGCTGACGACTAACCAGATGTCCGTGATGGAGCTCGTGGGGAGTGGAATCCACCCGGCTGACATGGAGGAGTTTAGAGTGGAGGGAACGACGTATAACCCGGGAGATGGAGGCATCACGGGCTACACTCCAGGGATGATGAGCAAGAATCTACAGTCCCTTGCAGAGATAGCGGCCGTCTGCAATGACGCGGGGATTATGTGCAAGGGGAACCAGTTTCGTGCCACGGGCTTGCCAACTGAAGCTGCTCTAAAGGTATTCAGAATGTCTTTTGCAGAACTTTTGGCTCACCCTTTTTGTTGTTTTTTTTTTTTTTTCTTAAGGTTTTGGTTGAGAAGATGAAGCTTCCACACAACTATAATTCTGATTATCAGAACCACATTGTGGACCATTCTGTGGTTGAATTGAGTAAGCTCTGTCTGTTTTCTTTCTGTTAGAGGTCCTCATGTATTTGTTTGCAGGCTGCTGCGACTGGTGGAATTCTCGCTCAACAGTATTGGCTTCGCTTGAGTTCGACCGGTCTCGCAAATCTATGAGTGTTATTGCCCATACTTCTGGAAAGAATCGTCTTCTTGTTAAGGTAAACAAATGTAGCATTTGTAGCAGCTGGTATTTTATAAAATTTCTCTCTGTTTTCTCAGGGCGCTGTAGAAAATTTGCTGGAAAGGAGTTCGTATCTGCAACTCAAAGATGGCTCCATTGTCAGCCTCGACTCGAATTCACGTGGCGCATGGATAAAAAAACTGGACTCGATGAGCTCCAAAGCCTTGCGATGCCTGGGTTTTGCATACAAGGATAATCTTGGTGATTTTTCTAGCTACAATGGTGCGACTCACCCTGCTCATGTAGTGCTTCAAGATCCTGCAAACTACCCGGATATTGAAAGCGATCTTATTTTCGTTGGGATGGTTGGCTTGCGGGTATGTACTTTCTATTTACTGGGAGAACAAGTTGTAACCTCGTTATGTTTTTTTATTCAGGATCCCCCTCGTGGGGAAGTTAAGGCTGCCATCGAGGATTGTAAAGAAGCTGGCATTCAGGTTATGGTCATTACTGGTGACAACAAAAAGACGGCAGAAGCAATCTGCCGCGACATCGGGATTTTCTATTCAGGTGAAAATCTAAGTGGGAAAAGTTTCACGGGAAGAGACTTTTTATCCCTTCCTGATGATCAACGACGCAAAGTCCTCTCCGGAAAAGGCGGCCGTGTGTTTTCTCGTGCCGAGCCCAGACACAAGCAAGAAATTGTGCGCATGCTGAAGGAAGCTGGCGAAGTAGTGGCTATGACTGGCGACGGTGTGAATGATGCTCCGGCCTTGAAGTTCGCCGATATCGGCATTGCAATGGGAATAACTGGAACTGAGGTATGCTTTTTTCATTGGGTTTTCACTTTGCGGTAAGATCTAACTCTACTTTGCAGGTTGCCAAGGAGGCCGCAGACATGGTTCTCGCTGACGATAACTTCAGCACGATTGTGAGTGCCGTTGCCGAAGGAAGATCGATTTACAGCAACATGAAAGCATTCATCAGGTGCGCTTAGCGTGTCTCGATTTGAATTTGCTGACGACTTTCTTTTTCGTCGTTAGATACATGATCTCTTCCAACATTGGCGAGGTCGCTTCCATATTTTTGACGGCTGCTGTTGGCATGCCGGAAGGATTAACTCCCGTGCAACTGCTGTGGGTTAATCTCGTCACCGATGGACCGCCCGCTACAGCTCTCGGATTCAATCCCCCTGACGTGGACATCATGAGAAAGCCTCCCCGTAGAAGCGACGACAAACTCATCAACTCCTGGGTGTTTTTCCGATACATGGTACGTAGCAAGCAAATCCCATCCGCGTCTTGTCTCACGAAAGAATCTATGTTCCAGGTGATCGGCCTCTACGTCGGACTGGCAACAGTGGGGATCTTCGCGCTGTGGTACACACACGGCTCCTTTCTGGGGCTGGATATCTCCGGGGATGGACACACACTCGTGACGTTCTCGCAGCTAACCAGCTGGGGGGAGTGCCCGTCGTGGCAAGGCTTCGAGGTGGCTCCATTCGCGGCGGGGTCACAGGTGTTCTCGTTCGACAAGAACCCGTGCGACTACTTCACCGACGGGAAGGTGAAGGCGTCGACGCTCTCACTGTCGGTGCTGGTGGCGATCGAGATGTTCAACTCGCTCAACGCGCTGTCCGAGGACGGGAGCTTGCTGGTGATGCCGCCGTGGGTGAACCCGTGGCTGCTCCTGGCCATGTCGGTGTCGTTTGGCCTCCACTTTCTCATCCTCTACGTGCCGTTTCTGGCCAACATTTTTGGCATCGTGCCGCTCAGCTTCAACGAGTGGCTGCTGGTGATCATCGTCTCCTTTCCCGTCATTCTCATCGACGAGCTGCTCAAGTTTGTGGGCCGAAGGATGTCGGCAGCCGAACGAAGGCAACGAAAGTCGAAAGCAGAGTGAAAAGGAAAAATTATGATTCTTTTTCTTTCTCCCCCAGAAATTTTTTCTAGTAATAACCCATATAGATTTAACGATTAGAGCTTTTTTCAAACATTTGGCTTTATTTATATAAACTAACTAAAATCTTAATCCATGTAGGTTTATATTTAATTTACAGTAGATTTTTTAATATGTGGAGTATTGCAACTTAAATTATCCCGAGAAACTCAATCAAATCTAGAGTTTGTATAAGTGTTTTTTTACCAAGAGAAAGAGAAATTGTATTGGCAATAATAATAATACAGGTCTGTTAAAGCCTATCTCGAGATAAAGACCACTTGGAAGGAAGAAGAGGAATTCTACTACACCCTACACTCTCTTGTTTGAGCCACCCGAATCTCTTCTGTTCTACGCAAGTAGATAGCCAAGTGGTACAAAGCAGCCTGACTAGGGAGATCCCTCTCAGCCCAAAGGATCCCAGGGAATTGAGCTTCACGTCATATAGAACATGATAGACATCTTTTACCTGGCCAGAGGGGCATAGAAGGCATTGCCAAAGGTGCCTATAGTATGTTCATTACAAACCAAAGAATCTTATGAAAAAGAATCTTGCAGAATCTTCTTTGCAGCCAGATATTTGAATATAAACCCCACATCAGATCCACTTGGGCCAGATCGCCACAAAGCATCATTCTCTTTTGATAAAAAAAGTGATATATTTAGAAAATATATTCGATAAGTTGATGAGTAAGGGAAAAGTTTTCTATAAGGATGTTAGACCAGAATATCCACTAATTGTGGAAAAGGTGACAAAAACTATATAATAACATTCTCTATAGTAGGGTTTCACGTAGCAATGTTCAGAGGAATTCTATTGTTGTTCATGGTATGGACTTGTGCAGCTCTTGCATCAGGGAGCAAGACCTCTTCCAGTTCCAAGCCCTCTTGCCTGATCGGTGGCACGACCTTCAACTTGCAAGACTACGGTGCCAAAGGTGACGGCGTCACAGATGACACGCAAGCCCTCGAGAGAGCATGGCAAGATGCATGCAAATCCCCAGACGCAACGCTTCTCATCCCCGGTGGCAAGACGTTCCTCATCGCCCAGGTCTCACTCCAGGGCCCATGCAAGCCCAACACAAAGATACGTATCGAGGGCAACATCCACGCCCCGGACGCATCCTCGTGGAGCAACTCCAACTCCGCCCCCTGGATCCAGATCAAGAACCTCGAAGGCCTCAAGGTGGAGGCAACCGGGACGCTGGACGGAAACGGCGCATCGTGGTGGTCTCGGGCCTGCAAGCCCACGGCGGGGTCGACGTCGTGTAGGAAAGCCCCGACCTCGATCGAGTTCAACACGGTCAAGAACCTCCGGGTCAACGGCCTGGAGGTGGTCAACAGCCCGCGCATGCACGTCAACTTTAATGGCTGCCAGCACGTAGCCGCGCAGTGGCTGCGGATCAACTCCCCCGGCAACAGCCCAAACACCGACGGTATCCACATCACGAACTCGCAGGATGTCGTGATCAAGTACGTCATGGTTGCCGCGGGTGACGACTGCGTCTCCATCGTCGGGGGCTCCTCCAACATCGACGTGAGCTCCATCGTGTGCGGCCCCGGCCATGGAATCAGCATTGGGAGCTTGGGCGGTGGCGACGTGGTGTCCGGTGTGAGAGTCCGCAACGCTAATCTGATTGGAACCACCAACGGGGTGAGGATCAAGAGCTACAAGAATGGGCATGGCACGGTGAGCGATGTGAGCTTCGAGGACGTGAGGATGGACGAGGTGGCCAACCCCATCATCATCGACCAGGCCTACTGCGACGCGCACGAGCACGACTGTGGCGCGGAGGCGGCGGCAGAGGAGGTGAGTGGCGTGAGCATCAGTGGCGTGAGGTACAAGAACATCAGCGGTACCTCCAAGACCAAGACGGCGATCACGCTCAGGTGTAGCCAGGTCGTGGGCTGCGACGGAATCGAGCTGGACAACGTGGAGATCACTCAGGCAATCAATGGGGCGAATGCTGATGCGAGGTGTAGCAATGCGTATGGTGTGGCGGGCAAGAATGTGTTCCCGGAGAGCTGCCTGGCGGCGCAGGAGCTAAAGTCGAGAAGAGCGAGCTCGAGCGTGCAGGCTGAAAAGGTCTCCTCGCCATTTAGCTAAAAGTTCAAATCAGTTATGTCCAAAACACCTTCCTCTCTAGCACACTTTCTTGTTTTCCCAGTATTCAGGACTTCACAATTCTCTCCTCTAGCTCCAAACGTTACTTGGCTACCATTGTCTACAGATGATTCATGGTGTCAGGTTGGGGGAGTGCTCCATTTCTTTCGTTCCAAAGTTCTCACATCCTTGAGCTAAAGAAAAATCGATCAGCTCGTCTCAAGTGGCTGCCTCTTCCAATACTAGGCTCTGAAAGTTCTTTTTCCAGAACTCATTGAGGGCCATGTCACCTATATTGTAGGAGTTCGGTTTGACCTGGCACATAGTTTTTTTTTTGTAATCACATCGATAACAAACATTGACAACTCTGGCATGGTTTGCCTCCATTGTAGCACATAAGGACTTTGACTAAAGAAGTCAATTATGGCCAACTATGGTGAAAGGCGTGATTGAAGTGTTGGTTGGATTGTGTCAAGCTAGACCTTGAGTGGTGAGCCTTCTCTCATAATGGAAAGATGAAAAGTTCAATTCAAAGCAAAAGAAATCAAAGATTGAGCGTTGGAATTCCCTTGTCATCCTAGCAAAGAAGGTATCAGCTAGAGGGCTCAATTTTTCTCTCCTGCCCCATAAACCCTAAAATCTAGATTTTAAAATTTCTAGGACATTGATCGACCGTTCGATTCGCACTCTTTCATTTTTAACGCTATGCCCTAAAATCGTAAAACCCTACACCCTGGCACGAGCAAGAGGAAGAGGAAGAGCAATGCCGGGGGTGATCACAGGTAGCCACATTCCTTGCTAGCTAGGCTATGAGCGCCACCACATCTCTCGCCCATGCGCGCTGCGCTCTTGACAAGGCTATGTGCTCGTCGCCCCAGCCTCACTCCAGCAATGGCGCGACGATCAAGCAGCTCCACCACTTGCGCCAGCGGCGGCGGGGGCGGCGACGCATTCGCCTTCGTCGTCCAGAGCATCCTCTCGGCGCTCAATCCTACCGAGGTGGGTCTCAACGCCGCCGCGCTCGCTCCCTTCGCTCGCTACCTCTCCCACGACGTCGTCCTCGAGGTCCTCCGCCGCGCCAGCCGAAAGAAAGGCCTCGAGTTCTTCCACTGGGCTCGTTCCACCAGCGGCGCCTCCGGCTACCGCCACTCCGCCGCCGCCTACGAGTCCCTCATCGCCCGCCTCTGCGACGCCCGCGACGCCTCCGCCGCGCTCCTCCTCCTCCGCGCCATGCGCAGCGACGGCCACCAGCCCAGCATCCACAGCCTCGTCGCGCTCCTCCGCGCCTACGTCGAGCTCGGCCAGATCGACGAGGCCGGGGAGATCTTCTGCTACGTGCGCAGTGCCGCCACCGTGCCGCCCGAGGCCTACTCGAGCATGATCGACGCCTTTGCGCGGCACCGCCGCTTTGACGACGCTCTCGAGCTCTCCCGCGAGGCGCTCTCGCGGGGCATCGCCGCCGACCACCACCCGCTGCTCTACGCGCTCTGCAAGGCGGACAAGATCGACGTCGCCGCCGGATGCTTGCAAGCGCTGCTGGATCACAACTTCAAGGTGGCGAGCGTGGATTGCAGCGTGGTGGTGGACGCGCTCGCTCGCGCGGACAAGCTGGAGATGGCGGCCAAGCTCCTGGAGAGATCGGTGGTGGAAGCTGGCGCTAAAGTCGACTCGCAGGCTTTCACGCTCCTCGCCACGAAGCTCTTCCGGCGCTCCAAGTTCTCCGAGGTGGTCCGGCTCTTCACGCTCCTGGCGTCCAGAGGCGTGGTCTATGGCGAGACCACGTACAAGCTCGTCGTGGACGGCCTTTGCGGCGCCGGGATGGCGAACCAGGCACTGGAGCTCGTCCGGGAGCTCAGCGGCGTCTACACTCCCACGGTCTTCATCTACAACGGGATCATCACGGGCTTGTGCCGGGCTTCCAGAGTCATGGACGCGTACAAAGTTCTGGAGAAGATGGTGGAGGAGTCCATCGTTCCAAACGTTTTCACGTACACCATCCTGCTCAACGGGCTGTGCCGGAGCAACAAGACGAAGCTGGCGCGCGAGGTGTTCCAGGAGATGAAGCGAAACGGCTGCAAGCCAAACCCGATAACTTACGGCACGCTCATCCAGCACCTGAGCCGGGCCGGGGAGATCGACGAGGCGCTGCGTGTGATGATCGAGCAGCGCAGCCTGGAGCTCCCGACGGACGTGATTACGTGCACCACGATCGTCGGGGGGCTGTGCAAGGCCAGCCGGCTCGACGACGCGCTCAAGTTCATGGAGGAGATGCGACAGATGGGAGTCCGTCCCAACGAGGTGACTTACAGCAACCTCGTGCATGGTTTCCGGCAGCACGGGGAGTTGGACCGGGTGATCCGTTTCTTCGAGGAGGAGAAGGCACGAAAAGGTGGCTCGCTCGAGGCAGCGGCGTATCCCGGCTACCTGGACGCGCTGTGCAAGGCGGGCTACCTGGACCGAGCTCGCAAGTCTGTGGAGGAGCTCCGGCAGTCCGGGGTCGTCCCGGACGTGGTGACTTACAGCATGCTCATCAACACATTCGCCCGGGCTGGCCAGTTTGACGCTTCCTTGGAGCTGCTCGAGGACATGCGGAGGAACGGCGTGAAGCCGGACGTGGTGACCTACTCGACGCTCATCAACGTTCTGTGCAAGGAGAGGAAGTTCCAGGACGCGTTCCGGCTGCTGGAGCTCATGGAGGCGGCCGGGTCGCCGCCGAACGTCGTGACTTACAACAGCGTCATGGACGGGCTGTGCAAGAGCGGCAAGATGGACGAGGTTCACAGGGTCTACGAGATGATGCTCAAGAGCCGCTGCTCGCCGGACGTGGTGACTTACAGCATCATCATGAACGGCCTGTCCAAGGCCGGGATGCTCGACTCGGCCGTGAAGCTGTTCGAGCTTATCAAGTCGAGTCGCGAGGGGCCCGACGCGGCGGCCTACAGCATGGTGATCACGAGCCTGTGCCGAGCCGGGAAGCTGGAGGAAGCGTGCGGTATGTACCACGGGATGGAGGTGACGGTGGCTGGGGATAACATATGCCGCGCTCTCGCGGGGCTGGTTGCTGCGCTGTGTGACGCCAAGAGGACCGACTCGGCACGCAGGATTGTGGAGGTTGCGAGGGAGAGGGGCCACCGCGTGACCAAGAGCGGTGATACTGATCTCGCCAAGATTGTCGAGGACCACCTCTTGGAGTCAAAAGAAGAACACGCGGATGCTGAGTGGAAAGCTTGATGATCTTGGATACCCGTAAGTACTTTTTCCTTTCTACATTTTGTTTCTTCCGATCAATAACGCAGTGCTTTTTCATTCAGCAGTGAAGACCCACGAGCTAAGAGTAAAAACGTGATGTACTCACTGATTCGCAGGAGGGTACACTGTAAAGTAAGAAAAAGTTGGTTTTTTTCCTCTATCAGCATTAAAGTTCTTGTTTGTTCTTTTCCTTCTTTTCGTAGCAGCCTTTACGGAGAAAAATGACACACAGTGGTAAGCAAAGCTCTTGTTTTTATGTTTCCAGCAGCATTGAAAGCTCTGTGTTACAGTCTCTGCGACGAACTATTCCTCCGGCGCAGCTTGTCCTCTAGCAGCACCGTCGAGTGGAGGCAACCTCCTTTCCTTTCCGACACAGCTTTTACGATTGCAATCGATTCACTTCCATCACTCGAGGTAGCTTTCCAGATCCTAAGACGACAAACTCGTAGCAAAGACTTTTTGCACAAACTTTCCAGGCAATCTAGCAACTGGATCCATGGACTCACACTCGACACTCTGCTCGACTACTCCTCGCTCAGAAGCCTCGTGAGAACCGGAGCCAGGATCTGAGGATGCGTGACGTGCGGGAGGTGTCCGCGGGCATCCAGGATCTCCAGCTCCCCTCCCAGCTGCTGGTGGAGATACTTGGCCACGGCTTGCGGCACCGCGAAATCCTCCTTGGTCTGGATAACATGGCACGGCACAGTGACGAGCGACAGGACTTTGCGAAGGTCGCTCTTGAAGATGGTCTCGGCTATGAGCAGCATGAAGTCGGGCTTAACGACGGACAGGAAGGCCATGTAGCGCTGGATACATTCTTCGCTCGCCTCGGGTCCCAGAGCGGCAGGGGCGAATCCTTGCAGCCACGAGGCATGGTCTCGCTTGATCGCGGCCAGGAGCTCGTCAACGTCCTGCTGCTCGAAGCCTCCCTCGTAGCCAGCGTCATTGATGTACCTGGATGGAGCAAGATCAATCGAGGACTTTGAAGGGAACTTTGAAGAACAAGAGTAGCAGTAGTACCTGGGCGAAGCTCCGAGGAGGACGAGCTTGGAGAAGAGGTCGGGGCGAGCGGCGGCGGCGAGGCAGCCAATCAAGCCCGACATGGAGTGGCCGACGTAGAGGCACTTGCCGAGCTGGAGCTCGGACAGGATGGCGATGAGATCCTCGGCAAAGCCTTCCATGCTCCGGTACCTGGACGCATCAAAGTCATCGTCGCTAGTAGCTCCTCCATGCCCCCGGAGATCGTAGAGCAGCACGGAGTAGCGCGGCAAGAGATGCGGGAGGAGCCCCTCCCACGCGCCTTGGCTGGCTCCAAAGCCGTGGGAGAGAACCACGAGCTCTCGGCCTTGGCCGAGGATCCGGACGTTGTGGATCTTCGCCATAGTTGACATCGTTCGAGCTTGGAGCTCTAGACTTCTTCTCCGGGAAGCTTGGGCTCTTGGAACTTGGAAAATGCAAAGCTCTAGAGTGGTACACTCTTCTTCTTCTTCTCTACCCTGTTCTAGAGAGTGCTAGCCAGGCCCCGCTACTTATATACTCGGGACGAGGAAAAAACTTCTGCTAAGTGGTGGTCCATGATCATTGATCCGCAAAAATGGCCAAAAACAAATAGCGCTGGCTAAAGGGGGTATGGTTTTAAGCGGCAAAATGGAAAGGAGAATTCGATAGAAGGGCGAGACTAGAAAGAAACGTGTAGCTTGGCACCGTCTGACCTTGCTAGCCAAAAGACAAGCATCACACACCAAACCATTTGGGTCCCTCCTCTCTTGGAGGAGAAAAGGTGGGGCGTGTCCCAATCGCCAAAAGCTTCCCATTTGGAAGGGATGGTGGCAGGAAGATGGAAGGCCAAAGGCGAATTCAATGCGCAGGAATCCAGGCGTCGTGGCTCAGATGGATTGTCTGCTCGTTCTTTCTTTTTTGTATTTCCTGGTTTGGATTCAAGGCCTTGTTTGTTGTTCCAATTCTCTCTTGAAAGCCAAAAGCGAGCGCGCTGCACATGTTCCACTGTCTGCTCGCTCGCCAGCGAGTTTCTTTAATCCGCGGTTGGATCAGAGCGCATGAATCGCCAAAATAATTGTTAGTTCGTTTGCATGTCAAGATCAAGTGTAATCACAGACATATTCTGACTTTCATCAACAAACAAAGATAAGACTTTGATCAACAAAAAAGATAAGACTTTGATCAGCGAAAAGCTGTCAACCAACGCTTTGAGAGAACAAAAAATCCCACAAAAAAAAGAGTAAGAACACAGGGGAGAGAGAGAGAGAGAGAGAGTATTCTCTCTACACTACTGGATGTACGGAATCGCGCTACCATCTTCGTACACTTTAGGAGCGGCGCCGCCACCACGTCCGCCATTGCTCCGCTTCTCTTTGTCTTTGGGCTCGTCGTCCTTGCCATAGATCCCGCCACCGTACGCCTCTTTCGTCACCGGCACAATGGGCGAGATGGTGGTAGTGGAGGACGACGATGTCTTGGACATTGCCGATTCCAGCGAGTCCTCCCTCTGGAGCCCGCCGCCAACGCCATCGCTGCTGCCTTGGATCCCACTCCCGCCCCTCTTGATCTCCTCCTCGTCGCCCTTGCGCGGCTGCGGGGGCTTTGGGGGGAAGCTCTTCTTTGCTGCCGTGAGCCCCGCCGAGGAGGCGGTGGAGATGTCGGTCCTGTCCACCGTCGAGCCCGTGGCGATGCCCGGGCCGAGCTCCGAGTTGTCCAGCCGCGTCTCCACGCTCACTGCGGCGGCATTGGGAGCCGAGTCCTCTCTGTGTGGCTGCATTGCGCCTCCTATACACGCGATTCGCGAATCCAAGCGTTGGAACAGGACGATTGGGAGAGATCTTACCTTGTCCTAGATTTGATCGATGCGAGAATCACGCGAGAGAGCTACCGCCAAAAACTCGAGATGATCTCACCTTGTTTGCTCCTTGTCGCGCTATCCAACAATGGAATAACCCTATAGCTTCATCTTCTGCCAAGTGGTCTCTCTTCAATGCGCGACCACGTGTCCAAAGCACGATACACCAAAATTGTCCACGTGTTGGCGCTCAACTCACCAACAGGTTGACACGTGCCAAAGTGCGATTCATCATTCCTTGTGCCACGTGTCAGCCCGCGATTCACCAATAATCTCCACACGAGCATTTCCCGCCCTCGAAGACATGAAACCTCCTGGCGTCGCGGCACACGATCCGGCGGCGCTCCATCCGCGACGCGACGGCGCTCACCGCGTGGCAATCGCCGCACACGCGCAGGTTCTTCCCGATCCGGATCGTCGCCCCGGGCGGCGAGCTCACCAGCGCGCACGCCATGGCGATCCTCTCGCTGTGCGAGCACAGGACGAAGCCCCTCTTGTCCTCCTCGCCAATGTTGTGCGCGATCCCGCCCACATCACCGCCCATCATCCAGCCCCTCATCTCCGCGAGCTTGGCCGCGATCGCGGGGCCGCCGCGGCCCACATCTCCAGCCCCAAACCGGTGGAGGATCCCCGTTTTATCATCGATCCACCAGCTCCGCCCACTTCTCCTCGGCGCGCCGCAGCTCCTCCCCAGCTCCTCGATCCGCGACTGCTCCTCCCACATACCCAAGCTCCCGTAGAGATTCGCCATGAGCAAGAATGCCGCGCCATCGCCCGGATCGATCGCCCGCAGCGCGCCAAACGCGACCTCCGCCACGGCCGCGTTCTTCCACCGGCAGCACGCGGCCATCACCGCCGTCCACGTGGCCGTGTCGGCCTCGTACGGCATCCCCCGTACGGCGGCCACCGCGGCGTCCAGCCGGTTCGCCCGCGCCAGCATGTCCACCGTACACGTGTAGTGCTCCACGCCCGGGCGGAGTCCGTACTTCGTCTCCATCGCGCCGAGGAAGCCATGGCCGAGCTCCACCATCCCGGCGTGACTCAGCGCCGTGAGCACGCGCAGGCAGCTCACCGCGTCGGGCGCGAGCTCCTCGTCGCGCATCCCGTGGAAGAGCTCCGCCACCGCGCGCCAATCGCCCTGGCGGGAGTGCGCCGCCATGAGAGCGTTCCAATCGATCAGCCGCCTCCTCGCCACGGCCTCGAAGCAGCGCCGCGCATCGATCGTGCTGCCGCATTTGCCATACGCGTCCACCAGGCAGCTCTCCACCACGATCAGGAGGCCGTGCCGCGAGATCTCGCCATGGATCGCCCGGCAGCCCCTCAGATCCACCAGGCTCGAGCACGCCTTGAGCGCCGCCACGAATCCGGCACCGCCCTCCACCGCTAAAAATCTCTCCTTGATCCGCCAAAAGAGCTCCAGAGCAAGCTCCCCTTCGTTGTTCTCAGCGTAGCCCCGGACGAGCGAAGCACACGAAGCCGCGCTGTGGAGCTTCGTCGCGTCAAACACACCCCGGGCGCTTGCCATGCTCCCACACTTCGCGTAGAGATCGACCACCGTGTTTGCAACCACGAGGTCGAGCTCGCCACCACCACCGAACTTCGCTCGAGCTCGTGAGTGGATCGCCATGGCCTTGTCCAGCGACCGGAGCTTCACGAACTTGTCATCGTCGATCTCCTTGCCAGCTTCTTTGGCAGCGGCAGCAGCACAGGCCTTGAGCACAGCGACGAAAGTGACTGAATTTGGCTCGAGCTGGAGTTGGAGCTCCAAACTTTCGAACAGATCTAGCGCCATCTCTTCGTCTCCATTCTCCGTGCAGCCGTTGAGCATGACCGTCCACGATACTGTGCTGTGAGCCTCCATCCTGTCGAACACCATGCGGGCGTCTAGCAAGCTTCCACACTTGGAGTAGGCGTCCACCAGAGTGCTCTCCAAGGTGATGTCCAGCTCAACCTCGCATCTCGCAGCTTCCCTGTGGATCTCCATGCATTTCTCCAGGCTCTCCAGTTTCGCCACCTTTGCGTCGGTGCTTTCTCGTGCAGCCAAGCCGATGCACGCCTTGAGAGCAGCGACGAACGCCGGAGAACTCGTTTGAGCGCTGCTTGAGCCGAATATCGCAGCAAAGAGATCCAGTGCTAGCCTCTCCTCTCCGTTGTCTACGTATCCCAGCATCAGCACAGTCCAAGGCACTGAATCTCTCGGCCTCGCCCTCTCCAAAACTCTGCGAGCGTCTTCCAAGGCTCCACATTTGGCGTACATGTCGATCAGCGTGCTTGTGACGAACTTATCCTTCTCAAACCCCCTGTCCCTTGCCTGAGCATGAATGCTAGTGCCTCTTTCCAGAGCCTCCCCCTTGAGAGGCCTGCCATTCCCGTCGTGAGTCGTTGCTAGAGTTGCGCAAGCCTTGATAGCAGCAACAAAGCTTGTATCATTTGGTGCGAAATCTTCTGTCAACCGAGCCAGTAGATCGAAAACCAGGTGAGTTTCACCGTTCTCTACGTATCCCAGGATCAAAGAGTTCCACGACACAACGTCCCTGTGTTGCATCCTGTCAAAGACGAGGCGAGCGTCAAGCATGCTCCCACATTTCCCATACAAATCTACCAGAGAGCTTTGCAGGAAGATGTCCGATAAGTAGCCACTGCTTGCCGCCTGGGAATGAATAGCCATGGCCTTCTCCAAAGCTCTGATCCTGACAGTCCCCCTGTTATCCATTCCGACCAGCTTGCCTTCCTCCTTGAGTGCCAGAAACGAGCAAGCCTTGACTGCTCCGGCGAAAGTTGGCGCATTTGCTAGCGTTTCCATGTGTAGAAACAGCTGAAGCGCGAGCTCAGGCCTGCTGTTCTCTGCGTAGCCCAGGATCAAAGCCGTCCATGAAACCACGTCGTGGAGATCCATCTTGTCAAACACGGCCCGAGCGTCCCTCAAGCTCCCACACTTTGCATAGACATCGACCAGGGTGCTAGACAAGAAAACGTCGTCACAACCAGCGCTAGCAACATGAGAATGAACAACCATACCTCGCTCCAGAGACTTCAGCTTGACGAGCTCTCCGGCTACCGGCTTGCCATCTTCGTCGCCTGCCAAAGAAGCACAGATTTTGAGCACGGTGACAAAAGTTCGAGGACATGGAGGACAACCTTGATCTTTCATGGCTACGTAGAGCTCGAGCCCCAGCTCCCCCTGCCCGTTCTCGCCATATCCGAGCAGCAGCGAGTTCCACGAGACAACGTCGTGGCACTCCATCCGGTCGAATACTCGCCGAGCATCACTCATGCTGCCACACTTGGAATACACGTCCACCAGTGTGTTTGCAACGAAGATGTCCTCCAAACACCCTTTCAATCCCGCTGCCTGGGAGTGAATCTCCATTCCTTTGCTCAGAGACTCCAGCTTCACACCAAAAGCTTCTACTTCTTCTTCATCGTTGTTGTCTTGCTCCTTTCCACGGTCTAGTACTTGTGTGATCGATTCTTTTGCCGCGAGGATGGAGCAGGCCTTCATAGCAGCACCAAAAGTTCGAGGATTTGGAGAGTATCCTTGTTCTTGCATGGCCGAGAAGACCTTCAAGGCCATCTCTGCTTGGCCATTCTCCACATATCCCTGTATCAGTGCGTTCCACGACACCACTGTCTTGTGTAATCCCATCCCCGCGAAAACCTTTCTAGCGTCCACCAGGCTTCCACACTTTGCATACATGTCCACCAAACTGTTCGCCACGAAGGCGTTCGTCTCGAATCCTCGGCCTCCTCCAGATAATCGGGCATGAAGTCTCCTCCCTCTCTCCAAATCCCGGGATCGGCTACAGGCTTTGATCTCCGCAAGGATCTCGGCGATGGATCTCGGAGATAATTCGAGAGAGCTCGTTCGTGAGCTCGAGAAGCGGACAGAGAATGAAGAGCTGTTACTGGAAAATGTAAGACTCACATTGTGATTCCAGCGCTTCCAGGACGATTGCATCTCCCCATACCGATCGAGAACTTAGGGTTTATAGTGTTTAGCTAGGTAGCTCAAGCCCTAAATTTTTTCTCCTGGTGAGCGCCATGGAGGCGGACAAGGAGGCGTGCCAGGATCCTCGGCTGGAGCTCGCACGTAAGCTCTTCTTGCTCTCAGCTCCGGAGATTCCAGACATCGAGAAGGTCCAGCTCAAGGAGGATGTGATTGCGGCAGCGAGAGAAGACGGTAAGAGATTTCGGTGAGGTTTGAGGGATTCCAGCCTCATGGCGGTGTGTAGATATGGCTGGCCCCTACGAGGGCTGGTGTCACAAGTTTGGGTGGGAGATCGATCACGCGCTGCTGGCGAAAATGCGGGCCAAGATCGACGAGGAGGTCAGGAAGCTGGATGAGAAGTAAGTAGCTCGCGTTTCTGTCTCTTTGCTTGAATCAAACGCCTCGCATTCTCTTTTCTTCCTTAGAATCGCCGATGCCGAAGAGAACCTGGGAGAAAGTGAAGTTAGAGACGCTCTTTTGGCAAAAGCGCTGTTCTTCATTCGTATTGGTGAGAAGGTAAGAAACGCACGATTTTTGTGGATTCGTTTAATTATTCTCTGTCTCTTTTTCTTGCCAGGAGCTCACGCTAGAGCAGCTGAAGATTACAGAGGCAAAAACCGTTGCCGTTGGTCACAAGATGGATCTCGTGTTTCACACACTAAGGCTGGCGTTCTTTTTCTTAGATTGTGATCTCATCTCCAAAAACATTGAGAAGGCTAAGAGGTGGGATGTTTGTGATTTTTTGTTTACTTGGAACTGACATGTTTGACCTCAGCTTGTTCGAGGAGGGCGGTGACTGGGAAAGGAAGAACCGCCTGAAAGTTTACGAGGGGCTCTACTGCATGGCGACCCGGAACTTCAAGAAAGCTGCGGAGTTGTTCCTGGACTCCATCTCCACGTTTACAACTTACGAGCTGTTCTCGTATGAAACTTTCGTCTTCTACAGCGTGGTGACAAGCATCATCTCCTTGGACCGCGTTGCTCTGAAGCAAAAGGTATGGATCAGCAGTTTGTAAGAGCTGTTCAGTACCTCGTGTTCTTGCAGGTCGTGGATGCTCCGGAGGTTCTTACTGTCATTGAGAAGATTCCACATCTGTCGGATTTTCTAAACGCCTTCTACAATTGCCAGTACAAAACGTTCTTCTTTGCTTTCTGTAAGATCCTTGCCTGGCTTTTCTGTGTAGTAACTATTCTGCGGTTGCAGCTCGGCTTACAGAGCAAGTTCGCTTGGACCGCTATTTAGCGCCACATTTCCGATACTACATGAGAGAAGTGCGCAAGGTGGTCTATGCACAGTTCCTGGAGTCGTACAAAAGTGTGACAATGGACGCCATGGCCAAGGCTTTCGGAGTGAGCATAAACTTCCTCGATACGTAAGTACCTCGGTTTCCTTCACTTGCGACTCAAATCTAGCCTGGATTCTCTTTTCTTGTTACAGTGAGTTGTCACGTTTCATAGCCGAGGGAAAGCTGAACTGCAAAATTGACAAAGTGGCCGGTGTGCTAGAGACTAACAGACCCGACGCCAAGAATGCTCTCTACCAGTCCACCATCAAGCAGGGAGATTTCTTGCTGAACCGTATACAGAAGCTCTCAAGAGTCATCGATATATGAAAGGTTCTGTTATTCACTTTTTGTCACACAGACATGTTTCTTAATCCAAGAGCGGACGGATAAATGGCAATGCCAAGACTTCTGGACTAGCTTTCGCCAGAGATCCGCTGTCAAATGGTGGCTGGGGATCATACTCCACCAGCAGCTGAACTCCTTCTGCAATAACCTTGTCTTTCAGAAGAGCGGCGAGGTAGAGAGCCATGTCGATCCCCGACGAGACGCCGGCAGCAGTGATAATCTTCCCCTGAAGACAACACACCACAAGGTTGTGAAGCTTTTCTTTCTAAGTTTTCTTGGAACACCTGACCTGCTGTATGTAGCGCTTTGCGGAGGCCTTGGCACCAAACTCCTCGAGCTTTTTGTAGGAGCTCCAATGCGTGGTACACTCCAGTCCGGTGAGAAGTCCGGCAGATCCTAAGATGAGCGCACCGGTGCAAACAGAAGTGGTGAACAGGGTCGTCTCGTGAGCCTGCAACCAAAGAGCCCGTTTCCCAGCCGAGGTGGACAAGCTGCAGGCACTCACCTTGCGGATCCAGTCGAGAAGTGGCTTGTGATGCAGCGGGATCTTGGTAGGAGGCCCGCCAGGAACTACAATCACATCCGGATGTGGAACATCCTTATACGACGCGGTGGCCCGGAGGCCCAGATGGGATTGCTGGGCCTCACCAGCCAAGATTAGACCCGGCTTGTCACTCACAAACACCACAGATACGCCGGGAACCGCGTTGAGAACTTCGTATGGGCCAACCGCGTCGAGCGCCGTCAGGTGGTCGAAGATTGGAATAGCCACTCGGAGAGATCTCTGTTCTTCCGCCATAGCTAGGCTGGTCAGCTGAATGGTAGATCAATGAGTCTTTAAAGGACTTTTATTGATGAAGGTGGTCCACTCGTGAAATGAGCACGTTTTTAAACCACGATTGCTGGAAGCAGGTGAGGTGCTCGGAGTTTGGTGGTGTTCAAGACTCCCAACAGCTGAAGCAGGACTTCAGATGACATTTGCATGTGAAAGCAGTGAAGCAGAAGAGGTTTACTTGGAATTGAGCTATTAGCTCTGATCAGGATGTGAATGTGAGAGCAGCGCTTGACTTCAACGTGATGACCAGTCTTCGGCAAGAGGTGTTTTGAATGTAAGTGAATTCAAGCAGGTTATAAAGGAAATTACTCCTGGTGTCGGACTGGCTTAATCAAGTCCAGTGGTCTCTGATAACAATTCATTGCATGACGTAGGGCTTTCTGGGATGGCGGTGGTGTATTTCAGGCCCCAGGCCAGGAATGTGGAAGCGCTGAAAGCCTTGAGGGTATCGGTGTGTAAACCTTTGCCAGTAGACGAGATCGCCAAGCTATATGGTCTAGTTCCGGCGACCGTCAGGGTATGCCAACTGCCAGACCAGAGCTTGAGCTTGAGCGCAATTAGGCGCTTGATGCCGGACCTAGGCACCGAAGTGAGGCCTTTCATCATCTGTGGCTACTTTGGGCCCTTCCCAGCGGGGTTCAAGGCCGCTTTCCTGGATATGCATGGGCAGCAGGCGAGTTTGGAGGTAGTGCAACAGCTTTTCATGTCCGCATCTACAGGGGTGTACAGTGTGATCAGGGAAGGGGATAGTAGCCAGGAACAGCTGGTTCTCAAGCTCCTCTATGAGCAAACCGTCATGTTTCCAGCCGAGCGTCCGACGTTGGAGGAGCTGGAGAAGCTGAGGTCGAGTACAGGACGAAGATGCCCGAGCTTGCCAGCCATGGTTTGGTATGGTTGGTTTATTGCAAGTGGGAATATGATGACTGACTTTGGGGATTCCGGAGGACTCGTTCTCAAGCCTGTGGGCGTCTGCGTCAAGGGCATGCTTTTCTCGCAGCAGCAGCAGCTATGCAAGGCAGCCTTCGACATTCTTCTGGCTCTGTATCATCTCTATCTCCTGGAGCGCAGGCACAGGGATGTGAAGCCTGAGAACATCGTCTACGTGGAGGCCCAGGCGCAGTTTGTGCTTGTCGACTTTAAGAGTGCACACGAGGAGGCGTACAAGGAAAAAGAAGACGAGGTTCACGACTGCGTCAGCCTTGTGTTGAGCCTGGCTGAAATGGCGGGCTGGAAATGCACAGGTGGTTACCTAGCAGCTGCCATCACCATCGCAAGCGTGCACCCTGTGCTGGGGGAGTTTGCGCTATATGCATCAACTCTGCAATCCTCCAGGTCTTTTCCGGAGTACCGTCACTGGTTACACAAGCTCGCTACTGCCTGTGGTGTAGATGCAGCCACTGCTATAGAACTGCTTGACGGGCCTAAGGCCGAAACTGAGGATGCACCGTGCCGAGGAGTTCGGCACCTCTGGTTGGTTTCAGAATAGCAAAGAGAGAGACAAAATAATTTCATCAGGTACGTTCCACGATCCAGTTCAAGTTTATGTTTTTCTTCATCTCACAGATTTGATCCTGTTAGCTCAAGCCTGATTAAAATGTTTTGTATTGGAAACTATTTGGGCGAGGTTCAGCCAGATTCAGCTCACTCGTGGAATAGATGCTGGACAATTGGACATATGAAGAAGCGTCTCCTGGATCCAAGTTGCCGAGGAACTTCGCAGCGCAGACTCCGTTCTGGAGATCCCGGTGACTCGTCGACGCACCCAGCAGGCTTCTCCACTCCAAAGCGTCCGGGACGAACGGCATGCTCGCGATAAGCTCTTGAGCAACTTCCAAGTATCCGGCTCGTCCGAAGAGATCGACCAGGCAGCAGTAGTGCTGCTTGGTGGCCTGGATCTGGAAGTCGAGCAGCATCGCCAGGAAGTGTGACGTCCCGGTGGAGACTTTCCCGGCGTGGCTGCAAGCTAGGAAGACGGACAAGAAACAGGACTCGTCCGGCATAGCTACCAGCTTCATGGAGTCGAAGAGATCCAGAGTGTCGCGGAAGTGGCCTTTCTGGGCGTAAGCAGCGAGCATTGCGCTCCAGGACAGGGTGCTCGGCTCCAGCATGGTGTCAAACACTCTCCTGGCTTTGCTGATATGCCCGTTCAGGGAGTACGCTGATAAAAGGGCGCTCCAGGAGAGGGAGTCTCTACGCGGCATCCCGGCAAAGATGGACGTGGCCTCGTCGAGAAACCCCTTTTGAGCATAAGCCACGAGCAATGTAGTCCAGGACACAAGATCCCACTCGGGCATTCTCTCAAAGGTGAAGATGGCTTCCTCCAGCCGATTGTTTTGTGCGTAGGCCGCCAGCATTGAGTTCCAAGTCACGAGGCTCCGCTCAAGCATGCCATCAAAGAGCTCCTTGGCGGTGTCGACGTCTCCACTCTCGGCATTAGCAACGAGCATGGTGGTGGCGGAGAACAAGTCCCACTCGGGGCTCTTTAGAAACAGCTCGCGGGAACTTTGGAGATCGCCGCTCGCAGCATAGACGCTCAGCATTGCGTTCCAGGTGACAAGGTTTCTCTGCGGGATTCGATCAAATAGTTTCTTCGCCTGAGTCATTTGCCCGTGCTGGGCATATAGCGCCAACATGGCAGTCCATGTCACCAGGTTTTTCTCCACCATGTCATCAAAGAAAATTCTCGCACGGACAACGTCCCGCTTGTTCGTGTGTGCAGACAGGAGCGCGTTGAGAGCCAATTGATTCCACTCGGGCATCTTTCGAAAGATTTTGTAAGATTCCTCAAGATGCCCAGATTGGGCATATGCAACCAGCATGGCATTCCACGTCACTTGGTTCTTTTGTGGCATCCAATCAAAAACAGTTTTGGCCTTTTCAAGATTCCCATGCTTCGAATATGCAACCAACATGGCAGTCCAGGTTACTAAGTTCTGCTCCGGCATTTCGTAGAACAGATAAGTTGCCTCATTAAGATGCCCATATTCGGCATATGCAGTTAACAATGCATTCCAAGACACTAGGCTCTTTTTGGGCATTTCATCTAAGAAGGCCCTTGCCTCGCTCGTATTCCCGTTTCTAGAGTAGGCATACAACATCATGTCCCACGAAAAAGAATCTCTGGTTTGCATGGAGTCGAATATCCGGCGGGCATTCTCCACACTGCGGCATCTGCCATACATTTCAATAAGCTTGTTTGTGAGGAAAGTGTCGTCCTCTCGAAAGAGAAGGTGACGAGCACGAGAATGGATATCTAGGGCTGCGGACAAGCTCGTGCATTCACGTATCGATTCCAAGCATTGGCTCCTGTTCATAGATTTGCCAATTGCCCAAAATAATCAAAAGAAAATAATCTTAGCTTCACTAAACGAGGAGAATCGCATTGGTATAAAGCTGGATCTCAAACAGCGGAAGAACAGAGGAAGCAATGGCGCTGGCTCTTTTCGTTTCGATCTTGTCAATCCTTGCGGCAGTGAACGCAGTGCGACCGAATGCTTCGCCAGCTCCTTCTCCATTCCTCGCCCCGGAGCATTCACCGAAATCAAACCCATCATTGCTCGCTCCACAAGCTTCTCCAGTGTCAGCTCCATCGCCCTTAGCAAGCTCGCAACCTATTGCGCCATCTCCACTTGCTACTCCTTCCTTGGCACCGACGTCTTCAGATAGATTTACAGCTCCATCGCCACCACCATCATTTTCTCGGACGCCATGTTCCACAAGCCGATCACCATCGCCTTCTCAAACGCCATCTTCCACTGCCACTCCAAGCCAAGCACCATCGGCTTATAATACCGCCCAATCGCCAGCTTTGTCACGCTCAATCTCACCCTCGCCGACATCTGCAAGCTCGGAGCTTTCACCATCAGAGGTGCCAGTCTCTTCCCCAGTAAGATCCATTGCACCATCGCCATCGCTGGTACCAGTTCCTTCGCCAGCATCTTCACACGCATTGTCATCACCCTCAGTTTCATCGCCAACACAAGCACCACCAGCGATTGTATCGTCGCTTTCATCGCCATCACCAGCATTTGCACCATCTCCAGCTCCACAAGTTACAGGACAATCGGCTCCTCCCAAACAAGCACCCGTGCCTATGACACCTTCGCCACCACGTAAGTCCCTTCCTTGATCATACGGGTTTTTAATCGTTTTTATTTCAGGATGTCCATTACCACCACATCAACCAATCAAGCCTCGGCCACTTCATCCAATCCCTCATCAGCCAATCAAGCCTCACCCAGGACGTCCTTGAAGGCATGGTCATGGTACTACCATGGTGACCATTGGCGACCATTCTCAACGACCAGTGAGTCACCACGCGATTCACATTTTTTTTAACTACACAAGCAATAGAATTGGTCAGCGATGATCTTTTCTCGAATATGCTTCAAAAGCCGCCCACATGTCGAGTGGCCGCGTAACGCCACGTCGGTGAAGGCTGGCAGGATTAGAACTGAGCCATGGATTCATATAGATAGTTTAGAAAGTATTTTTTTCTCTTTGTTTCTCTCGAGCGGCATTATTGTGTGTTTGAAGCGATGAAGGAAGGGTTTGGCGAGAGCGCTGGGATGGACGGCGCTGTTGCCGCCGAGCTCGCCTCCGTGCTGCCGCGCGTCCTCATCGTCTCCAGGCGCACCGTCCGCAAGAACAAATTCGTGGATTTCGTTGGTAACTGATTGAGAATGGATCGAAATCTCTTCCTCTCCCAGCCGATTCTAGATTTCTTTTTCAATCCTTGTCATTGAAATGTCGAGCTCGATTCCATCCTCTAAATCTCCTGTTTTCTCTGTTTTCTTGTTTCCTGATCGATCAAAAAAATCCCTGGAAATTTTTTCAGGGGACCTACCGTTTGCTTGCTTTCTTGTGACTTCTTCACAGAAAGCATGGCTAGCTAGCTAACAGTTCGTTCTTTTTCTCTCTCACAGGAGAATACCATCTAGATTTGATCGTCAGCTATGGGGCGGTTCCAGTCATTGTTCCACGAGTTTCCGGATTAAACTCGCTCCTCGACAGCTTCGAGCCAATCCACGGCGTGCTACTGTGCGAGGGTGAGGATATCGATCCCACTCTGTACGACAGTGATGTCTCGGCCTTGACACCCGAGGACGTGGATGAGATCAAGCGAACGCACACCAGTGACATTCTCATCGACCGGAACAAGGATTCGATCGAGCTCCAGCTTGCTCGCCGGTGCCTCGAGAGAAACATTCCATATCTCGGGATTTGCCGCGGTTCCCAGGTACTCAACGTTGCGTGTGGAGGATCACTCTATCAGGTGAGAGAGTTTCCTTTCCACTTTCTGGTTTTCAATGGAAGTCTTTCCTTCCAGGACGTTGAGAAGGAGCTTTCAGGCAAAAGCAGCGTCCAAGTCAAACATATCAACTACGATGACTATGACGGACACCGACACCCTGTGAAAGTTGTCCAAGGCACTCCTTTGCACGACTGGTTTGAGAAATCGCTTAGCAATTCCGAAGACAAGTGTCTTCATGTGAACAGTTACCATCACCAGGTAAGAGACAGAGTTTTTTTTCTGTCTTTTCTTCCTGTTTTCATGCTTGGCTTTCTTGTACGTTTCTAGGGCGTGAAGAGATTAGCTCGAAGGTTCGAGCCAATGGCTTTCGCTCCAGACGGGCTCGTAGAAGCGTTTTTTGATCCGGACGTGTACAATCCCGCGGAAGGAAAGTTCATCGTTGGCCTCCAGTTTCATCCGGAGCGTATGAGACACCCTGAGAGTGGCGGATCTGATTCGGATGGAGCTCTGCTGGAGAACGAGTTCGACTACCCGGGATGTCCTCGTGCTTATCAAGTAAGCTCTCGCTCACGTCTGGCTCATCTCTTTGATTTAAAAATGAATGCAGGAGTTTGCAAAGGCTGTGATAGCATATCAAAAGAGGCTACTATCTCCTAAGAAAGCGAAAGAACTTGTCAAGCTCGACGGCGACATCGAGAAGCAGAGGCAAAAGCTGATTCGGAGCTTCTCGCTGGCCAAGCACATATACGAGGAGGAGCAAGTTTGCAAGATGAGGAGCGATGGCAAAACTCCTCAGCTGAGCCGTGTCAAGAGCAGCCGTGACTTGGAAGTAGGCGCAGAGTTTCTACAGGTTCGTACGACCTATCTCTTTCTTTCTTCTGGCATGTGAGATCTTTCTTGCGCAGTTCAATGAATTCGAGCAAATGGAGAGGCTCAAGCAAATGGGAGCCACAGTAAGAAACTCGACCATTCTTTTAGAGAGGCTCCAGAAATTCAAGCAGCGTCGCTCGGCTGCCAAGTCGATGATGGAATCGATGAGGACGTCGGATCTAACGGAGCTACACGAGTTCTACAAGATGATGGTAGAACTAGGAGACGAAGTCTTGGGAACAAGAGCAAATACTGCGTAACCATGGACGACCGGGAGGTATTGTGTGTAATGCTTAAATTCAATCAAAAAAATAAAAAGGAGTGATCAGTTTGAAGAGGGTCCCTTCTCGATCCTGGGATTCGGCTCTATAGGATTATCCCGGCTTAACCACTACCCCTAGGGTTGATCACTTGAAATACATTGTTTTTTTAATTCATTATGAAGTGTTGATGCATTTCCACCGTTGGAATATTGGGCGGTTGACGATGCCAATGTCCCGCGGCCGTGACATGTTCAACCGCCCAAAACCCTCCCCGAGGGCTCGCTGCGAGCTAGCAGCAATCGCAAGCTAACTCCCCATGGATCCCCAGGTATGAGTGAGTCTCCCAGACAGGCACGCGCGACTGGCGACCAGATGCCCAGCGGCTGTTTCAACCGATCCTTGTCGTGGGCAGCGAGATCATCGGCAGAGCTCTCGATCCATCGCAATTCCTGGGCAGGGCCGCGGATCTGGATGTGGGTTCGCTGAGGTCTTGCAGGAACCCAGCATTTCTCCAGAATGGGTATCAACGATGGGCATGGCAAGAGTGAGTACTCGGTGTGGGAGGTCGGGACGCCCAACAACGACGTTGCCGTCCCGGAGTACGCTGGAGGAGAGTGGTCGCCTCTCCAGCAAGGGAGAAAGAGGGGATATAGGAGAGTTTACGTGGAGCCGGGGCCGCCGTTGGAATCCACAGCGCCAGCATCGCACCACCACTGGGACGCAGCGGGGGTGGCGGCGGCGGTGGTGCCGAACAAAGAGAAAGGAGAGATCTCTTCCCCGGCGGACGACGAGACGAGCGTGTCCGACTTGTCGCTCATATCCGGCCTGGGGTCCAAGAACTTGCGGGATCTTGTGCTCGGGCATGGGGGGCCGGGGATGAGGAAGCTCGTGTATGGCGACCATGGTAGTGCCGCTGGCAGCAGGACGTCGAGCATCAAGTCGGCCGCGGGAGCCTCACGGTTTGATCACATTGGCTCGCTCAAGATGACTTACGCGGCTTTCAAGGATCCGGAGAACGAGAAAGAAGGAGTTCCTCTACAGTTGGTACTTAGCCATTACTCTCTTTCTCTTTCTTCTTCTCTTGCTCATACTTTCACTGCTCTAATCTGCCTGATACTTTTTGCTTTGAGTTCCTCAGTTTGATTTTTGTGCGGGTGTTTTGGAAGTTGCCAGAGATCCTGGAGTCGTCGAGGTTCGTGGTCCCAACCGAGGACGTGCTACTGGCCATAATTCACAAGCTAGACCAGAGATATGATCCCGGGGAGCCACTGAAATGGGACTTGCTGCTACATGTGGCTATGCACCTGGAACGCAAAGACAACAGTAAATCCTTCTTCAATTCCAGGTACATTTTCTATATCTTCTTCGAGTTTTCATGGATTCCGAAACTTACGCAGGACTGGACCACCATTTGTTTGGAAGAGCCTCCAGAAATCCAACCTTAGAAAGCCAGACATAGAAGAGTTTTATCCAGGTCTTGAGCCACAGGTCTGGAGTTTTGACTTGTGAGGAACTTGACTATCTTACGCTTGCCCTCCTCTCAGGTTATGACGATGATGAAGGATCTAGAGCACCACAAGAAAAGATGCGAGAGGGAAGGGAACTACGTCGAGGCGCGATCGACTGCTCGACGCTTGAACGAACTTAAAGTACGTTAAACGTTGTCACTCGAGAGCTTCCAGATTCTTACATTTTGAGTACGTTTGTAGATCCTCGAGAACAACAAGAGGAGGGGAGCAATGCTAAATAGACATATGCAAGAGAGGCAAAGCGCGGAGAGGGCATACAAGGCCGAAGTGGACGACAGGAACAAAGTAAGTTTTCATCCTCGCTGGTATCTTCTCCATCGCTAATCCGCCTGGCAAAGATGGAACACAGTACTGGGATGACAAGATCACGTTGTTCCAAAAGGATGTCATGGAACACGCTTCACGGCTCAAGCGTCAGCACACGACTATCCTCGATACTTTCAGGACGAAAATGGCTTCCAAGAAACCTTGCAAGCCACAATGGTCGGCAGAGCTCTTGAACCAAAGAAAAGTCCAGGTAGGAAGAGAGGAAAGAAGCTCTCAACTCAACTCCCATTGCAGGAATACTTGGGAAAGCAAGGCAAGTACTCGGAGGCGCTGAGAGTGAAGAAAACAGCCGACCGACTGGAGCACGAGGAGCTGGAGGCGACGATCGAGTCATACCAGGCCGAAGTGGGACTGAAGGAGCAAGCCTTGAGAACCAAGCAGCACAGTGAGATGGAGGTGCTTCTCCAAAAGGCGACCAAAGGCCGGGACCAGCTAAGAGAAGGGCGAGCCAAAGATCTGCAGCGAATCCACCAGGTCTGTGTGCGTTTTTTTGGAAGCTCTTGATCCAATCGTCTCTACCTCCTTTCAGCGGCATAAGAACATCGTGAGAGAGCTCAAGGCCCTCCACGCGCACGAGATGTTTAAGTTTGAGCAAATGTATGGCAAGAAGATGAGCGAGTACCAATCCAACCTGGGGAATGGGAGGTATTTGTCGCCGCCCACTCGCGGATACAGCTCCCTGGCGCTGCCCAAGGTGGCCGAGGTCCAGTGCGATGACACGCACAGCACGGAAGGAATGTAGAGAATTTCAAACGCTTGGAATTCACCATACTTGTGGAGCAGTGTACCAGCTTTCCACGGTGAGGAGTTCTTTTGAGCGAATAAAGTAAATAATGAGTGTACATTTATGTTTATATAAAAAATGGCCAATGCCTTTTGGGTTAGATAAGGCAAAGGGTGAAAATATATTTAAGGTGAACAAAGTTTCACACAAGCATCAAATGGTGGCATTGGAATATAATTTTTCAGTGATTGTGTTCACATTGAAATGTAGAGTTTATGGATTTGTTCAAAGAGGTTCTATCAAACTAACATGGAAAAGGCAAACAATTATATAAATAGAAATTACACAATTATATTTGAGATTTTATGAGTTTTGGAAATTTATTTTGAAACGGAGTGGCTACACACAAACAGCTACAATTCCTTGGACACAAACAAGTACAATTCCTTGGACATTATTAGAGATGTATGTGCAAAACCAAGTAGAGCTGACTTGCCACTCAAACACAGACATTATCCAAACGATTGTGTACGTTGCAAAACATTGCGTAATTCATTTCTCTAAGGTCAAAAGCAATTGGTATATCATTTGAAATCAGGTTGCAAATAAATTAGCAAAGATGGGAGTGTATTTACTTACAGACCCTGTGGTTAAGTCACTATTTATAATTAATTAAAAAAAATTGTTTTTAAAAGTTAATTCATTTGGGAATTTAATTTGGCTAACTAATGCTTATCCCTTTAAACTTTAAACCATGGAGAATGGCGTATGATTCCTTCCTCTTGTAGCATCATACGCCCTCGCAATCTCCCCCAAGCTTTCGCCTCCCGTGAATTGTGGTGTCTCGCGGAGGTGATCGATCGTCTGGACGATGGCGCCGCCGCTGACTGGAACACCTGCGCCTGGATACTCCGCCAGTGCGCCGCGGAGCTCGCGCTAGAGCAGGGACGCCGAGCGCACTCCCGGATCGCGCGACGGGGCCGCGACACTGACACCCATCTTGGCAATCTCCTCGTCCAGATGTATGGTAGCTGCGGATCCCTGCGAGAGGCCATCGAGGCCTTCCACAGGATCAGTGCGCCAAACGTCTACTCGTGGAACATCCTCGTCACGCAGCTCGTCCGGAATGGCGACCTCGATCTTGCCACACGCGCGTTCCACCGTGCTCCCGCCAGGAATCTCGTGTCTTTTAATCTGCTTCTCACTGCACACACACGGCAGGGGCTGATCGGCGACGCGCAAAGGATCTTCGATGCCATGGCCGAAAGAGATGGTAGCTCCTGGAACATCATGATCCAGGCGTACTCCAGCAGTGGCGATTTGGAAGAGGCGCTTGTCCTCTTTGGCTGGATGACCCGCCGAGACGTGATCTCTTGGAGCACTGTGATCACCCTCTACACCCGCGCTGGAGGAATCGATGTGGCGGTCCAGATGTTTGACAAGATGCCCCAGAGAAACGTGATCGCGTGGAACGTTCTGATTGCGGCATTTGCCGAGGTGGGGGATCTGGAGAAGTGCCAGGAATTCTTTACAGAAATGCCGCAGCGCAGCTTGATTTCCTGGAACTCGCTGATGCAAGCGTGTGCGCTGCATGGTAAGCTGGATTTAACACTAGCTTTTCTCGATAGGATCCCACAGCAGGATAGTTACTCGTGGAATGCAGTGATCTTAGCTTATTCCCAGTGCGGGTATCTTGCTGAAGCTCTGGCGATGGTGGAAACTGTGCCTCAAGAAAGTTCTGTTGGATTCAACGTGGTCATGAATGCATATGCTCAAGCTGGTGATCTCCATCGAGCTCGTCATATCTTTGATCTCATGCCTGAAAAGAACGTTGCTGCCTGGAATGCCATGATCCAGGCGTATGTGCAGAACGGGCATCTGGGAGACGCCAAGGCACTGTTCGATCGAGCCAGAAAGAGAAACGCCTTGACCTGGACTTTTGCGATCGGTTTGTTCTCGCAGCAATCGAGCAGCGAAGATCTGGTGGATCCGTCCGCAAGGCTCGCTTTTGAGAGGATGCCAAGTCACGACACTTGTGCGTGGAACATGATGCTCCAAGCTTCTTCTCACGGGGATGCCGGAGCAGCCAAAGATCTCTTCGACAAGATACCAGCGCGAGACATTGTGTCATGGACGGCGCTCATCACAGCCTTGGGCCATAGCCAGCAGAGCTCGAGCGCGGAGCTCGTGTTGAGCAAAATGCCGCAGGTGTCGGAGATCTCCTGGAACGCTCTCCTCTCGGCCCACGCTCGCGAACGATGCTCGCCATCGATCGAGAAGGACCTTCACGGGGCCTGGAGCATCTTCAAGAACAGGATGGAGAGGAGGGACGATCTCTCGTGGACGATAATGGTATCCGCCTTCGCGGACTCGTCCACGCCTGAGAAATCTCGCCGGGTCTTCGATCGAATGCCACAGTGGAGCTTGCTGTCGTGGAATGCGCTGCTACGATCTTACGTCCAGGCCGGTCGCATCACAGAGGGAGTGTGGATCTTCTCGCGTGCCATGCCGCAGCGCAACAGCTTCTCCTGGAACATCCTCATTGCGGCTCTCTCTCAGGGCAGCCGCCTCGGCGATGCGAGGGAGCTCTTTGCCGCCATGCCCGCTCGTAGCATTGTGTCGTGGAACTCGATGATCCAGGCGCTGGGCCTCAATGGCGAGCCACGGGCCGCCATCGCGCTTTACTGCGGCATGGACCAGGAAGGCATCCCTCCCAGTGATGCCACCTTTGCGAGCATCCTCGAGGCGTGCTCCATTGCCTCGGCGCTCGAGCAAGGCATGGAAATCCACCGGGATATCGCCATTGCCAATCTGGTGATCAAGGCTTCGCTCGCAAGCGCACTCGTCAACTTCTATGGCCAGTGTGGCGGCGGCCTGGATCGAGCCCGGGAGATCTTCCACGGGGCTCCTCCTGCAGCAGTGTCGGGGTGGAATGCGATGGTCGCAGCGCTGGCGAGGCATGGGCATGGCCGTCAAGCGGTGGAGCTCTTCATCCGGATGGTGCTCGAGGGAATGGAGCTGGACAGCGTCGCATTCCTGGGAATTCTCACTGCCTGTGGCTACGCGGGGATGGTGGAGGAGGCGAGGGAGCTATTCGTGCTTATGACGGAGCATGGGATCGCCGCTGGAGCCGAGCACTACCACTGCCTAGTGGAGGTGGTGTGCCGGGCGGGGGAGCTCGAGCGAGGTGTGGAGCTGACTGTAAGCATGCCTTTCCATCCGGGCGTGATTCCATGGAACATGATACTAAACGTGTGCAGCACTGTTCTGGTGGATGGGAAAGTTGGCGCCTGGGTTGGGGGCGAGATTATGTTGCTGGAACCTGTGGAGTCTGCGCCGTATGTGATGCTCTCCAACCTTTCCACTGCCTGCATTTAGCTATAATTATTTGAGCTCCACTGGCACTAAGAAATCCTTCTCACCTTGACATGGATGATCTTCTTCGTCAAGTTCTCAGCTTTGAAAGGGTTCTTCATCTCAGCAGGATCTAATTATTTGAGCTCCACTGGTGATGAGGTGATGGCAGAAGCAGCCACCACTCTGGACTACTAAAAATTTTAATTTTTACCTACCATAACTATCAACATGTTGTTGAAATTTTATTATAGGAAGAATAATATCATTTGGCTTAATTTTAAAAGTTGTAACCTTCTGTTGTCAAACCATAGATAAAATAATATTTTCATTAAGAAAATTTTGTAAGATATCCATCATTTTTTATTGCAATGTTGTTTTTATAACTTTTGATAAAGTGATATCTTCCTGCTCAAAGTTCATATCAATATTTTAAAATTTTTTAGTGTAAATTACCTTTATAGTAGTCTTTAGCTGAATTTTTTTAATGTTGCACATTTCAATGAATATCTTCTTGCTCAAAGTTTTACAAGTATTTTAAAATTGTAATTAATAAGTGAATTACCTTTGTTATAGCTTCCAAGTCATGTTTTTCAAAATCTTGTTAACAATAAAATAAATCATCTATCCCAGGTTTTAAGATTGCATACGAATGTGATAATTGAGCTTTATAATCTAGTTAATTTACTCTTCGTGTTTGATATAATAACTTTTGCTTCATGCTTATAAAAGTTTCTTTTGGTTGCTTATAGATAATTACATTAAGTCAGAAAAGCCTAATCACTACGTCTTTCACCTTCGACAACAAAATACCACATAGCTAAATCTGAAGAGGATTATATATAGGATTTGTGAGTATTATCTTTGTCGAATTTTACTTGAGAGTTGTTAATATCTCTTGCTTTAACAATCACACCATCAATTAACTTTTTGTATGCATAGATTCAAATAAAACCATGATTTTTATAATAATTAGTAAGTCAGTAGCTCATATAAACCTTAGTAGTAAATTAGTGAATTGCTTAATTTATCCTTCAATTACGAATATATATATATATATATATATATATATATATATATATATATATATATATATATATATATATGACGAGAGTATAACCTTTATATTTGCATGGAATGCCTCAATCAAAATATTTGTCTACTTCGAGCAACAACCCACATATCTATCCAATATAAAGAATTTTTTTTTATAAAAATCAAAAAATTAATTCACTAACTAACTGTAAGCGACTAAATTTTTAATTCTAATTTAATCACTTAATTATCTTGGAAGAATCTCACTCTCAACCTCCATAAGTCCTGGTTTAGAAGCTTGTGTCCAATTTATTATCTGCACTAGGATGTTCTACATTGTCTAGATAAAAAAAGCAAAAGCTGATTTTTTCATGTTCTTTTCGAAAAGTTGTACTGTTTTGTTCTTCAGGTTTGGTTCATCAGGACATTCACATGGACAATGTGATCTGTAACTATTCATCAACAAGGAATTTTATATTGATTGATCTCGAAATGGTTGGAGAGCCAAGTGATGTTGGCGAGTCTTTTCTGACCGGCTGGACACAAACGACTCTGAGGGAAGGATGCTGTTACACCTTCAGATCAGATCTTCATTAGCTTGGGCTGCTGCTGGAGAAAACGGTGGTCCCTTTGTCTTTGTTGGCTTGGGATTTTATTAGCCAGCTCAAATCTCATGGGCAGAAGTAAATTTTGTGATAATTCATAACAAATTGTAGCAGATTGCTGATGCTAATATGTTTCTGACAGTGTTTCCGTGGCAACTGTGAGGAAACACGTGTGACGACTTGAGGCAACACGAGTGGCTTGTTGCTGGCAATACAAACAGCAAGAACAATTAGCTGAAAACACTGTTTGAGACATATTAGCTTCTGTATATTTTTTATTCCTCGAGTCCAGGCTCTCGGAACAGTTCTACACCAAGCTCTACACGAAGAAGATGGAAAAAATGATAAAAATCTCACTTTGACATCGTGTTCGTGATTTTTATGCCTTCTTAATTCTATCAGATGCCACAAGAGATTTAGCATAGCGAATCCATTCAAGAATCTTTATTCAGAGGAATAAACGAGATCACTGATCTTGAAGAGAAGGCAAGGCTTCGGTGATCTCTCTAGCCAGATCCACAACCTCCTTGCTTGCTTTCCCCACGCTGCCCGAATCGAATGGCGGCTGGGGATCATACTCAATCGACAGTTGGACAGCCTTGGCCATTGTTTCATCTGCTAGCAAGGCTGCCACCTCCAAATTCGAGTCGATCCCAGCCGACACGCCGGCGGACATGATAATCTTCCCCTGCATCCCACGAATTGAGCTCATTAGCCCACCAGAAAACGAATCTAGCGAACTCACCTGACGTATATATCTCTGATGAACAGGAGTAACTCCATAAGAAGCGAGGTTGTCAAAAGCTGCCCAGTGCGTCGTCCCCTTGAGGCCATGGAGGATTCCAGCAGCTCCCAAGAGGAGCGCTCCAGTGCACACAGAAGTGGTGTACAGGCTTGTTTTGTGAACCTGTGAAACCAAAGCAATCAATTACAACCAGGGCCGCGAGGTTCTTTCCATTACCTTGACAATGTAATCGAGAAAAGCCTTGTTCGTCAGAGGGAGGTTCTTGACAAGACCGCCAGGAACCACGAGCACATCGGGGCTTGGAACTTGCTCGAAACAAACCGGGGCTTCCACTCGCAGATGACCATCATCAGCAAGGTACAGGCCAGCAGTCTCGCTCACGAATTCCACCCGCACTCCCGGAATTCTGTGGAGAACTTCGTAAGGCCCGATCGCATCCAGGGCTGTGAACCCGTTGAATATGGGAATTGCCACCACAACCATCGCTTATCCCACTTATGATCTCGTCGCAAGACCGCTGTTTTATTCTCTCTTGTAGTTGCGTAGCCGGAATTGTTACTGAAAGTTCAAAGAAACTCACGTCAACCACTTTTCAAGACAATAAAATTGGCCAAACCTGGAGCACGAGACCCGAAAGAGTCAAATCGATTGTATCGAATCTACACAATGAAAGTAATAGTTAACAAACAAAGCAGCACCAAAAACAATTTCCAGACGAATCAACTGTAAAATTGACAGGACACGTACCAGTTAATTTTGCATATCCAGGCAAGGAATATATAAGAAAAAAACATCCGGATGCCTCGAGCTGCAAAAGCAACTGGAAAATTTTCTATCAGGATTTGGAATAGACCCTCCTGTGGCCTCTAACTCCTGAAATGTCAGCTTCTAAACCACCATCACTTTCAAACCCCGTGTTAAAAGCTGAAGAATGAAAATCGCTTTGTGGGCTCCTTGCAGCCAACCCTGAGTTTTGAGCCTTTTCTCTTTCCTCGGATTCTTTCAGCAAGAAATCGATCCAAAGGTCCGCAAATGACTGCACGAAAACAGATTTGAATAGGAAAATACCATGAACAAGATTACCTGATCATTGCTTGTCGTAAAAGACGAATTGTCATTACCGCCAGATAAGATACCTCCGACGACACGCCCTGGGAGGCCAAAAACGCTTCTCATAACACCCGGTTTCCCAGAATTTTGATGAGCGAGTCCAACCCTTCGTTTGTCATCGTCGGAGAACCCCAGCATACGGGCCATTAAATCAAGAACCTGTTAGAACTATTAGAAAGTCAGAATTTCAAAAAGCTCCAACTACCTCGCGGTTATGTCCTCTCTCAAAATATGTCACGAGCAATTTGATGACAATGCGCCTAAAAGAAGAAATTTAGCCAGTACATGATACGAACCTCTTACCTGTCTACGGAATAATCTGAATCTGAAGACATCCTGTTTAGACGGATCATGCTTTCTTCCAGAGCACGGCGTAACCTGATCATGTCTTCTTGCATTTTCTGTGTTTTTTGTTGATTTTCAAGCCCTTTTCGTTCCTCGATGTGTAGTTTCTCTACAGCTTCTTTCTTCTGTGCTTCTACTACCTCAACCATCCGCTTTGCTGCCTGTTGAACAAATATGTAAGTTGAATATTCCATTGACCGACTACTTACTTCCAAACTGTCCGAAAACTTCCTGAGATCTTCCTTTGCAGTATTGAGTTCTCGTTGAAGGCGCTCCTGCAATAATCAACTTAAGCAGCTTCCCAATCGATCAAGAGTACCTTCGCATCAGTTTCTGCATAGTACTGCCCAAGTGCCACTTGGAGATTGGCTATCTCCTTGTTTCTAGCCTCCAAGACGGAATAAGAGTTCACAAGCTTAGACTTTAGAGATTCAATCTCCACCTTCGATGCCTGCAAATCTTCATTCAATCTTTTACTGGTATCAGTTTGAGAAGATAGAGCCTGCGCTAACGCTTGCTCCAGCTGTATGACACGGGCACAAGTTGCTGAAAATTTTCCTTCAAGTATAGCAATCTGCTCGCTATCTCGGTCCATTTTTTCTGAGTCGGCATTTTCCTGTTTACAATCCAGCGTTAAAACAATGAAACAGACATGCTCTCGTACCTTATCTAAAAGGTGCTGCTTTAACCTGTTGAGGTTGTTAAGAGCTTTATCCTTCTCCAATGTGACAGCCTCGAGTTTCTTTCTGGAGTCGTTCCTCTCATTCTCGAGAATTTCCTCCGCGGTTTGCAGTTGCACTGAAAGGACATCCGCCTACAAGCATACAGCTTTTGCTTTTAGCTACTTATCCCTCTAGAGAACATACCTGTTGAGCTTGAGCTCTCAGCATTTCAATCTGGAAAACCTCTGGTTCACTCGTCGTTTTTTCTGCAGAAGCAGCTTGCTGCTGCAGTTCAAGCTCGCGTGAATCTAAAGCCTTTTTCAGCTGTTCCTTTTCTGCCTACATACACATATCTATAGAAAAGAAAAGAAAACATATAACACTATACCTGGAAGAGACTGCGCTCGGTCGTCAGTGCTGATATTGATTCTCGAATCTGACTGATTGTTTCGTCCCTCTCTTGTAACTCCCTTTGTAGTTTCTCAGCATCTGGTTGAGTAGCAGTCCTCTCATCATGATTTCCCAGAGAGCCACTTTGTTGGAAACTATGTAACTCCAAACGAGCTTTCTCCAGTTCTATCGTAAGCCTCTCCAGCTCTTGCTGCGCAGTACGATGGCTGTTATCTAGATCCCGGAACGCTTGTTCCTTGCCCCGCATTTGATCTAGCAGCTCCTGGAATCTAAAGTTTACCACTACAAAAGCAAAAGAAACGACATACCTTCTCGCGATTCGCAAGATCCTGACACTTCCTCTGGCTCTCCAGCAAGCGTGACTCGTAGTCCCCGAAATCGTCTGCTCCCACGCCGTTCCTTTCCTTGTAATCCCGATTCCTCCAAGAGCGATGATCAAAATTCTGGAAACCATCCTCAGATCTCCGCCGGCTGTGGAATCCTCTGCCGGCCTGCGCACAAAATCCTCAGCCCTGGATCACAATCCGGCCACACTCGCCCATACCTGCTGCGATCTGGAGCTGCCAGACACCGCCGGCGAAGAATCTCCCTCCTCGTCCTCCTCGCGATGCGCCTTCGGATCGAGCTCCTCGACCGTCTCGAGCACCTCGGACGCCATCTGGGAGAGATTCTCCTTGAAATTCTTCCACATTGTGGCAGATCTGGATGGAAGGAAGGAGAGCTGGCGCCTGGCGCAACCCAAAAACCCTAACTCTAGGCAACAAAATAGATACACTTATTCTAAGAACTATTCTCGATCGCTCCCTATAAGAGAGATAAAAAGGACGTAGGGAGAAAAAAATATGGAAAGAAGAACAAAAGAATCGATCGATGGATCAAGTCTTGTTGCTCACAAGCTCTTCGTCGTCCTCGCTACTAACACTGTTCTTAGAGACTTTGATGGGAAGGACGTAGGCTCTCTTCTCTTTGCCGCCGGGCTTGGACGACGCGTTGCCATACCACACCATTCCCACCACCGCCATGAGCATTCCCAGCACCACCTGGAGATTAAGTCCCTGGCGGCCGAAGAGGAAAAATCCCAGCACCAGCACCAGCACCGTCTTCATGTGTCCCAGCACCTGGAACGACACCGCCGTGAACCTCCCAATGCAGATGAACTGGCTGAGGTTGGTTCCCACGGCGATGGAACACGAGAGGATGATGAAAAACTGCAAAAGAATTCCCAACGAGTTTGAGAAGCTGGATCGATGGAATGAGATAAAAAGAAAAACAGCTAAGCTACACTTACCAGTGAAGGGAAGGAGAATTGAAACAAGTCGACTCGCAGGCCAGTGAGCCAGTAGTCGATTATGGGGCCGCAGAGGATGAGCGAGCCGGCTTGGACGGGAGCGGTGTGGCCCAGGAGATCGAAGGAGCCCAGGGCGTATTTCTTTTGCAAAAAGTGCACGTACTGCAGCAAACAAACAAGAGTGGATCAATGAAAAGTGTCTTCTGAAACACTTACATATTGCTGGAGTGCTGTGCTCCACACTGCTATGGCGGCCGCCACGAATCCTTTCGTGTTGACACTCACGTCGCTGACCGTGCAGATTCCCACTCCTAGCAACACCACCACGATGCTTAGCTTTGTGTCTCGCGAGTAGCGTATCTTGTCGAAAAGGACCTCGAGAAGGCAAGAGACGGGGATCATACTGAGCTTTGCAATCTGCGCAAGGAGGCATACGAACTCGAGCTCTAGAAAAGAGCAAAGCACAAGCTTACCTGGTAGAAGCCAACGGAGTTCCACATCAGGCTGACGTTCATGCCGACGATGGAGAAGTTTGCGCAAAGAGCGAACTTTGCGAGATCGACGAATGGCAAGTGGGTCGGTTGGATAAAACCCAGGAATCTGAGCACCAGAGTCATTAGCGTGGTCATTCCAAAATGCAGGCCTGTCAGTGTCGTGGCTGCAAAAACGAAAGGCAAAACAACAAAAAACTTCAGCACCAGATAGATCAGAAACGAGCAGATCCAAACTTTCCACTGACCGAAGCTAAAGCCGTAGTGGTCCATGAGCTTCTTGTTCACCATGATGATCCCCACGGACGTGGTCACATTAAAGAGCCAAGCGCCCACATCGGCCACTGCCTTCCTATCCTTGCTGCTCGTCGGAGCCATTTCTGCGAGCCTACCCAGAAGAGAAGCCAAGATCTAGCGTCGCAGATCCACCACCATTGGCCAGATTCCTCGAAACCCAACGAGATCCAATGCCAATTCTCCGCTACCGCTCCACCATTTCGCTCCTCACTCAGCTGTCCCTTTATCCTTTACCCTAAAAGCAGTGTGAGACCATTTTTGAGACCAGCTGTTTCTATGTACCTATAGTTATAAGAGCAGTTGGTTCACGCTCTTCCAAACGGTTATCTCTCCTCCTCCTCGTCCTCCTCCTGGGATTTTCGATGAGGTGAAGATCATGAAATATTTATGATGGTACCTTGTTAGTTATCTCTTGCTACTGCGACAAGCAAGGAGCTCCGCGGTGGCAACCTCCCTAATGGCATAGAAATCCACGTCCATGTGTCGGCCCCTGAGAAACAAAAGAACAAAAAAAAGAACAGGAGAATCAATGTCTGGTGCTAGGAATTTCCATCAAGCGTACGTACCAGAAATGGTTCCTGGACCATGAGGAAGCCGGGTACATGGGACTCCCCAGGCCGTGGAAAATTCTGGCAATGGCACGGCCAGTGAAGTCCATTTCGTTGGAGCGTAGGAAAACCTGTCAGCCAAATGTTTTCAGCTTCACACCATTCGCTTGAAGTCGAGTGAACTGACCTTGACATCAGCACGCAAAAAGGAGCTAAAATCGCAGCAAGTGAGGGGGAATTTAGCTGCATGTGAAAAAGAGAAGTTTGCTTACCTTGTGGTTTTGAGAAAGCCCGGCATCGTAAGAGCTTGTTGGTCGGAGCTGGAATCGAAATAAGCCTTTATGCTGGCTCGTATAGGTGATTCAGCCGAAGGTCCCACTGACAAAGCTGCGGCATTGTACATCGCGTCCAGTTTTCTCACCTGTGGAGCAGCGTTAAAAGAACTACACTCCATAACCAGAGTAGATTAACCTTGCACGATTCGGCTTGTGAAAGGTAGTCCGCAAGTTTTGAAGTGAGCATGCAAATGTCATCCGGAGATTCCAGGACTTGGTAGCAAAATGCTGGATCTTTCAGCTCGTACGCGATTTCTCCTCTTGTCTGAAGGGCTTGAAGCTCTTTCTGAATTTGCATCAGCGTT